ATCTACTTGCACTTTGACGTGCTTGCGTACTGCTAGGTGGGCAGGAGCAGGGACCGAGCAATGGGAGTTCACCCTGTCACGGGGATTCAAACCGCTGACCTTCCAATCGGCAAGCCCTAGGCTCTGTGGTTTAACCCACAGCGCCACCCACGTCCTACAATAGGATTTACTTATGTATAGCTATGTGTCATTGGGTGCCAGGCCTATTCCTTTTGGAGGAAATTTTATGGAGTGCAGTGGAAGTTGATGTAAATTGCATTGCAGGACATTTGTTTAATATGCCATCCTTAATCCAAGTTGACAGTGGTTTACAGTATAAAAACATGGATATGTACATAATGCATCTTAAAATTGAACTTTCATATAGCCATAGCTATTAGTCACAGAGAGACCTATTTTCCAGATTGTGAAATGGCCTAATCCCCATTATAACCTTCTAAGCTATTGATCATCACAACATCTTGAAGAATGCATGTGGATCAAGTTATAAATCTATGGAGTCTATACTTGGCTTGCATTGGAATGAACTAACTGTACTGAAAGAAAATTTCTACAACATATTTTAAAGGTTTACTTGGGCACATTGATGCAGGGAATATTTTCTGTGAACCATGTTGGCTGTGCACACAAATGCGTTTCAGGTGGTGATTCTGGAGTTTTGAAGGATCTCTGTAGATTCTGAGTCATGCAACATTTGCCATAGAAATGCATATCTGAGGACACTGGGGAGCATTATCCGGAGACAAAGCTGTGAACTAGCATTTGGGCATGCCAGGATTTCCCAAATTCAGACCTAATTGATGGAAATGAGGTCTACTGAAGACACGTATGACAAGTTCATGATCTATTACAGGAGTCTCTGTAAAATTTCAGTTAACAAGCCAAGATTTAATGGATGGCTTTGGTTTCACTGTCATGAAGGTCTGTGGTGCTTTGGAGCAGTGCACTGTTTTGTAAAGGCCAAATATAAAGTTATAATACAATACAAAATAAAAACCTTCAATTGCCAATTGAAGTACAGATCCAGGGAGAAAAATATTTGATAATTGGAATATATGCACCAAATGATGGGAAGGCAGAATTTTTTAAGAAGCTGCATGAGACTTTACTGGATTACCTCAACTGCAAAGTAATAATGATGGGGGACATGAATGGAGTGGTCTCCACTAATATGGATAAGGCACAAAGACAAGTAATCTCTAAAGAAGGAAGATTACCAAAGACCTTTTTTGAGATGACGGAAAATATGGACTTGATAGACATTTGGAGAACTAGGAACCCTCTCGAGAGAGAGGGAACTTTTTTCTCTGAATCAAAGATGACATGGACAAGAATCGATCAAATTTGGGTATCTAGTGTGATGGCTACAAAGATAAAGAAAGTAGAAATCTGCCCCAAAACCTGCTCCGACCATAACGCAGTAAAGATGGAAATGAAACTGACAACAACTGGATCCTTCAGATGGAGAATGAATGACTCCCTATTTAGAGATGAACAAATTTGTAAAAAGGCCCTAAAGACATTGAAAGATTACTTTGAGATAAATTTAAGAACAAAAGTTGAAAAAAGAACAATTTGGGACGCGAGCAAAGCCGTGATGCGAGGCTTCCTGATACAACAGAATTCAATCAAGAGGAAGAAGCAAAATGAAAGGAAAGAAAGAATTCTGGAAAAAATGAAGGAAGGAGAAAAGAAACTGAGGTCTAAACCAAAGTCTCATGAAATTCTGAGAGAAATAAAGTATTACCAGATGCAATATATGGAATTGACAAATCAAGAGATAGAATGGAAAATTAAGCAAATGAGACAAAGGACATTTGAGTCAGCAGACAAATGTGGGAAGCTCCTTGCATGGCAATTGAAAAAAATGCAAAAATTGAATACAGTTACCTGTTTGGAGGTAGATGGAAAGAATATTTATAAGCCAAATGAGATAAGTAATTGCTTCCAAAGTTTTTTCAGGAAATTATATACACAAGGGCCTATGAAGGAACAAGAAATAGACGAATTTCTTAAAAATTATGGACTACCCAAAATTTCAGAACAAAGTAAGTTGACACTGAATGAGAAAATAACAGAACAAGAAATAGAGGATGCCATTCAAAAAACACAATTGGGAAAATCTCCAGGACCAGATGGCTTGACGGCCAGATATTACAAGGCTTTGAAAGAATGTCTAGTGCAACCATTGAAAGAAGTATGCAATGAAATACTGGAGGGGAAAAAGGCACCTGAATCGTGGAAAGAGGCTTTTATCTCACTTATACCAAAAACTGAGACTGAAAAGAACCAGGTTAAGAACTACCGCCCGATTTCATTATTAAATGTGGATTACAAAATAGTTGCAGACATTTTAGCAAAAAGACTTAAGAAAGTGCTGATAGGTGAGATTCATAAGGACCAAGCTGGCTTTCTTCCGGGAAGACACATGTCGGACAATGTGAGGAATATAATAGACATTGTGGAACTGTTGGAAACGGACATTAATAGAAAAGTGGTTTTGATTTTTGTGGACGCGGAGAAAGCCTTTGATAACATTTGTTGGAGCTTTATGAAAAAGAATCTCCAAGGGATGGGGGTAGGCCAAGGTTTTGAAAATGGTATAGGTGCGATATACTCTGAGCAGAAAGCAAAATTAATTGTGAACAATGTGGTAACGAAAGAGATAGCTATAGAGAAAGGAACACGACAGGGATGCCCTATCTCCCCTCTACTTTTTATATCGGTTCTGGAGGTTTTGTTAAACATGATTAGAAAGGACCAGTTGGTTAAAGGAATTCAGGTCGGAGTGAAAGAGTATAAATTAAGGGCATTTGCAGATGACCTAGTTTTGACTTTACAGCAGCCAAACACTAGTACAAAAAGAGTTTTAGAACTGATCGAGATATTTGGTCAAGTTGCAGGATTTAAATTGAACAAACAAAAAACTAAAGTGTTGGAGAAAAATCTAACAAATGAGGAAAAAGAGAGATTTCAGAATGAAACAGGTTTGGGGATAGCAAAAAAGTGAAGTACCTGGGGGTGAATTTGACATCGAAAAATGTGAATTTATTTAAAGACAACTATGATAAATGTTGGACAGAAGTTAAGAAAGATCTAGACATATGGTCAAGGCTGAAACTTTCCTTGTTAGGCAGAATTGCTGTTATCAAAATGAATGTATTGCCTAGAATGCTATTTCTGTTTCAGACACTACAAATAATAGACAAGATGGACTGTTTCAAGAGGTGGCAGAAAGACATATCTAAATTTGTTTGGCAGGGCAAAAAGCCAAGAATAAAATTTAAGACATTAACAGATGCAAAAGATAGAGGAGGTTTTGCCCTGCCGGACTTAAGACTTTACTATGAATCAGCAGCGTTCTGCTGGTTGAAAGATTGGCTGCTCCTCGAGAATACAGACATTTTGGATCTTGAAGGATTTGATAATAGATTTGGTTGGCATGCATATATATGGTATGACAAGGTAAAATCGCATAAAAGCTTTAAGAACCATATGGTCAGGAAAGCATTGTATAATGTTTGGATACGGTATAAAGACTTGCTTGAAAGTAAAACCCCCAGATGGTTGTCACCAATGGAAGCTAAAGAGGTGAAAAAACTGAACATGGGTTCAAACTGGCCTAAATATTTTGAAATTATAGAACAGGATGGTGAAAAAGTAAAACTGCAAAGTTTTGAGAAACTGAAGTTTAAGGTGAGAGATTGGTTACATTATCGACAGATAAATGAAGTATTTAAACAGGACAGAAAGAAAGGCTTCCAAGTGGAGAGGTCAAAACTAGAAACAGAATTGTTAGAACCCAATACTAAAAATTTGTCAAGAATGTATAACTTGCTGTTGAAGTGGAATACTCAAGACGAAATGGTGAAATCAAGTATGATTAAATGGGCACAAGATATTGGACATGACATTGAACTCGCAGATTGGGAGCAGTTATGGACCACTGGTGTTAAATTCACGGCATGTAATGCCTTAAGAGAAAACATTATGAAAATGATCTACAGGTGGTACATGACTCCTGCTAAGTTAGCGAGGATTTATCATTTGCCCAATAATAAATGCTGGAAATGTAATGAAATGGAGGGAACCTTCTATCACCTTTGGTGGACCTGCCCAAAGATTAAGGCCTTCTGGGAAATGATCTACAATGAAATTAAGAAAGTTCTGAAGAGAACCTTTATTAAGAAACCAGAAGCCTTTCTCTTGGGTATGGTGGGCCAAATGGTGCCAAAGAAGGATAAGACATTTTTTATGTATGCCACAACAGCAGCAAGAATCCTTCTAGCAAAGTATTGGAAGACACAAGAACTACCCACGTTGGAAGAATGGCAGACGAAGGTGATCGACTACATGGGACTGGCAGAGATGACTGGCAGAATTCGAGACCGGGGAAAGGAGGCGGTGGATGATGACTGGAGCAAATTTAAAGTTTACCTTAAAAATTGTTATAATTTGGATGAAAACTAGAAGATCAGGGAAATAAGAGATAAAGAACTACAGCTGTTTTAATAACTTAAGGAAGTTAAATTTATGAAACATAAAATAAGTTCATGACGAAAGGGTTGCTGAAAAATCTTGAAACAAGGATGCAGAAAAGGGGTGGTACGGGGAAGTCGATTTTGTGTTTGTTTATGTTTTTGTTTTGTTTCTTTTTATCTATGGAAAATCAATAATTTTTTTTTTAAAAAAATACAAAATAAAAACCTTTTGTTTCGTTCCCTAAACACACTGGTTAGTCCCAATGAACTCAGTGGGACTTCTGAGTAAAACTTATCATAGTGCAAGCAACTATTTTATTTCACAACTAACTGTTGGTGCCTGTGCTGTAATCTGCACACAGTGTTATTGTGCAACCACGTGCAAAAACTCTGAATGCAAGTTGATTCTTGGCATCCCCATTTATAATCTGGTATCTGTCAATGCAGTTCAAGTAACAAAAGGCAGAACAGTAATGGTAGAACAGTTTGTAGCAAACACAAACATCACAGATACTGAGCTAGCTCTTAAACACGTCAGCTTTATTGTACATTACATGAAACTTTTAGTAGCCAAGAGATTCACAAAGGAGTGAGCTGAACAGAAACCCTTCTAACTGAAGATACATTCCGCTGAAATAACTTTTAAATGCTGCAAATCACATGTGCCAAACAGTCCATTTTTAGCAGCCTAGGAAAGTGTTAGATCCATTATTTATCAAAAGAGGTATGTGTTTCAAGGCCTGACTGCACTGCCACTGGGTCTAGCAGTACCTGCTTCTCACAAAAAATAAAATCTATCTAGCCATATAAAGTACAAACTCAAATATTAGCTCCCATGCGTATTGGCATAGCTTTTTTTCCCATTTCTTTGCTTTTCAGCATTAGAGAGAGAGAGAGAATAAAACAAACACAATGATGTGGATCATAGAAACATGTGGGTAAGCTTCAACTTCAACATTTCAACTTGAAAAAAACAATCCATGCATGAATTTTCTTTCCAACAGCAGCAAGAGGGGAGGGGCACTGCAGCGGGCCATGCTGTGGGAGTGCCATGGTAGGAGTTAAACTGCTGCAGTGCTGGCTGCCAGTTTCCAGTGCAGTGGCGGAGAAACACTGTGGCCAGGCTCTTTACTTTTCCTCAGGGTTGCATGCTTTCATATAGGAGTCAATGATATGTGGGGGCACCCCTTGCAATAGTAGTCTGAAGAATGAGACCCCACCTACGGACAAGGAGGAAGACAACAGTTAAAGCAATCAAGTGAACAGGTGTTTGCAAAAACTGAATTCCAGCTATAAGTGTCCTGATATCCTACAGGCATTGACAGTGGGTGGTGGTTGGGTGGAGTGCAATAAGCTGAATCTGCTTCCAGGTAAACAAATTTAGGATTTGCAGCCTTGATGTATCTCTGACTGCAGCATTATTTTTTTTCTTCATGTAGGCTGAAATGGATCCCTTGGGAAGAGGGCTATCAAGGACTCATTGGTTCCATGTACAGTCAATGGAGACTTAGAACCAAATCAGAACCAGAGCAGACATCACGTTTGCCATGGGAATGCTGCCAACAATGGGCTTGCTATTGACAAGCCATTGTTGGCCCCGCTGTAAAGTCTGCAAGTCCTCGTCAGGTAAGCTGGTGCCATCGTGCTGCAAGTCTCCACTCCCTCTCCCAAGAGAACGTGATGGCAAGTCACATGTACCGGTAAATGGTGGCAAGAAGATTCAATCTGATGCAACTGATCCATGTGGGAAGTCCTTGTACCAGACTAGAGCACACATTATGATTCCCAGAGGGATGCAAAAGCAGATTCCCAGTGGCAATTCCTTCTCCTCTCAGTTCTTGTTGTAACCCACCCTGGGGTCCTTGAAGTGTGGGGCATATTTATTAAATAAATAGATAACCTATTGGTAGCATTATGGTTAGACATTAAATGTGTGGCGTCTTCCGTGTCTCTGCCTTGCATCTTCCAGCAGTTGAAATAGATGTGTGACATGACATCATTGCGTCACCTGTCGTTTGTCATCTAATGAAGTGCTGAATGCTGTCATGTCTTATCCATTACTTCCTTTCAATTATGCCACACCATGAAACATGAATCAGCCAAGTGTAAGGTAACATTTTGTTCAGCCCTGAGAGCTGAGCAAATGGGTGCTTATGGTGAGATAGGTGATTGTTGCACAACTCTCAACCCAACACCTACTGTATTTACTGCAGCCTGACTCAAACCACTTCAGCGGTTTTGCAGTGGCATGGGGGAAATGGGGGCAGTACCAAGTTGTGTGGAGGAGAAATAAGTTACAAAATGTAAAGCAGTTTCCCCAAACCACACTTGCTTATAAGTGACATTAAAGCCAGCAGATCTTATTTTTCAGAAAACAGTATTTGGTGGTACTGGTGTGCTAATATCAATTATTACACCTAGTAACAGTAATAACATTTCCTTTGATGCTTTTTCAAGGTTTTAGGAATGTTCCAACTGAACACTTAAACCATTCTTTGGGTTTTTTTGGTGGTGCTAAATGTGGGACCACAAAGAAATTAGGAAGCTGAATGCAGATCACTTTTGTGCTCACAGTTACAAATTATACAAACTTGCTTAGAGAATAATATCTTTGCCCATCCTTAGTGCTAGTCAAAATGTGAACATTGCCTTCTTAGAAAGGGCTACTGTAGCTAAGGAGCCTTTGTGCAGAAGATTCTTCCAATGATTTGTCATTAGACCAAGAGAAAATAGGACCTGTTTGTGAGGTAGCACAGTTGGAGCTTCCACATGGTTCCTTAACATGTTACTGCAGCAATGTCTGCATGCAGGAAAACATGTGGGAAGGGATAATGATGTGATTAATTCCAGTGTTAGCCCCACCTAACCGGAGTGATGCTATCCACCCATTTTATAGGCTCTGGTGTGAGATGGAGCAACAGGAACCAGGAAACCCACCACTCCAGTAAAAACAGGTCAACAACCCATCGGTGCATTACAACGCAATAGACCACATGTCCTTTCCATTGAGTTAATTAGCAATGTTGTGGCCAATCTTCTTTTGTGTACCTTTTTGATTACCCAGGGTGTCTTCTGGGTAATCTGAGGGTAAGGTATGCTGTGGATTCATGAAGCAAAAGAGTTTTGTGTGTTCAGCCGCTTCATTACCCTAGTTGAAGTACAAACACTCAATAGTGGTTCCCTTAGCGCAGTGATGGCCAAACTTGGCCCTCCAGCTGTTTTGGGACTACAAATCCCATCATCCCTAACTAACAGGACCAGTTAGAGGGCCAAGTTTGCCCATCACTGCTTAGTGTCCTGAGGCTCATTAAGGGGGCGGGACCTGAGAACCCCTGCTATAAGTGTCCTAGAATTGCCACCAGTTCTGGCAGTATGCGAGGAGTTAGCATGGCCTCTAATAACCAAAAACTTACCTTCTGATGCATTTCCGATTCATGCCATAAACCTAAAGCACCAGGACTTTCCGAAGATGAACTTACCAATTGCTTCCAGTAAGTTTCAGCTCTACAGAGTCATGTTTTACCACTGACCCTTAGGGAGGAAGCTTTTTCCACATTCAACCAAATGAAATTGCAAGTTGCATTTCTGTGCAATCTCCCATATCCAGCTGAAACGGCATTATTTGGATTGCCTTGACTCAAAGTAATTAAGGCATGCCACTGAAGGTTTTAGGGTTTGTTTGTTTGTTTTTTAAAAATAGGCTATGCTTTCCTAATCTTCAGTGAATAGAGAAGACAAGACGCACAATTTTTTTTAAAAAAAACTGGCATGCTTTTAAAGCATTCTTTAAAGTCACTGTAGTGTAATTTTTTTCAAGTAAAATTAGGTTTGGTATAAATAGCGTCATTTCTTTAGGCCGCTGAACCTCGAGGCCAATAACTAGCTTTAGGTGCTAGAGTGCTTGGATACATGGCTTGCTTTTTATGTAAAGTAAGCTGTTAACATGGCTCAGGCTTTGTTGCGTCCTGCTGAAGTTTTTATATCTGCATATGCTGTTAGTAAGTGATTGCGTCACTGCAGGGAGTTGCTATCACAAGCATTTATTGGACAGATCCAGCGAAAGTTGTTAAGAGCACAGTGATATAAAAGTCAGTCTATTACAATATTGATTCTACAACCCCATTTTCATTAAATGACATAATGAAAATTATGCCATACGGTGGAAGGCTTTGTATGACGTAACAACAGACATAAGCTTCATATGCAGGGACCATATGAAAGCTTACCTTAGATGACACTATACATTCAAAAATCCTTACTGTGTAACTAAGGGAGAGAGAGAGAGAGAAGTTGTAAGCACTTAACTTGCTAAACACAAAAGTACAGAACTTGTTGAGTGAAATTATGTTCGCAACTATGATAAGATGATGTTTTAATCCTTAGTCATGTAAAAGATGTAAGAGAAAGAGAGGAAAGCAAATGGAGTGTCAAAATAGGCAGGGATCTAGCACTACTTCAACATTAACTATTAATACGTGAAGGTTTATTAATTGTGCACAAACATAAATGATTGGCAGCTAATATAGAAGACACAATGGAGCCAATCAGATTGTGACACTAAAACTAAACAAGGTCATATAAAACTAAACTAGATCACAGACATATATATATCCAGGATGTTTATCAGTACAGGAAAAAACCACACACGTAGTATTGAACTATTGATATATATATGTATGTATAAGCATAGGTTGAAACTCTTAACAGGCAAAATTATCAAGTTTTGTGTACATAAAACGTTGCACAATTTATGATGCAATCTTATACACACTTACCTGGGAGTAAGTCCCAGTGAACAAAGTAGGATTTACTTCCGAGCAAACATGATAGGATTGCACTGCATATCCTAGTTTACACCTTTGTAAGTAATGCATATATCTCTTAAGAAACAGTGTTTATTCTACATGTGTTTGGGGAATGGTAAGAAGCCTTTAAAAGAAATATCCAAACTAGGTAGAATGGTTAGTATACAGGTTGCTATTTGCTATATATGATTAACACAACAATCCTATGCATATTTTCTCAGAAGCAAGTTCCACTGTGCTCAGTGGACTTAATTTCCAGGTAAGTGTGCATAGGATTGCAGCCTTAGTTTTGAAACTAATTGTGTATAGTCATTTGATAGTTTTTCTGCTCATTAAAATAATTATAGGATTATAGGTAGCTCTTCCAGGCTATCTGAATGTTAAAATTAACTGCATAAACACGCTTCTTTTATGTATGCTAGCTGCTGATACATAAGCAAAAAAAGTTACTTTAAGACATGAGTACAGATGAAACAGAAGTTCTCACCTAAGGTCTTCATAATCTGGATGTTAGTACCTAGAGTCTTGATGAATTTGGCCTTTTTTTTGCTCATGCCATAACCAGTATGCCATGAACAACTATATAATCTAAGAGCAAAGATGAAATGCACACTTTTCATGCAAACACATTTTATATAGGAAGAAAGGAATGGAATGGAAGGTAATGCCCAGGGGAATATGATTTCAGAAACCTGTTTCTGCCCCGCCGAGAAGATTGGTTCTCCTGGGGTAATTACGCCATGATATATCACTGCAGAATTAGAATATTTGTACCAATATTTATTCTCATTTGAAATTATTTTGCATAAATGTTTAACAGTGTCAAGATTGTTTTATTTTCAATTGGTAAACACCAGTTGTAATTTTTCAGTAGTTTTTAATTGACAAAGGAAACAAAAACCTGGACACATATCATGATTTTAAAAAAAACCACCAATTAAAGACTTGTCTGTACTAGTCTTTTTTCATAGAATTTAACCTCATCAGACATGCATCATTAAGACCTAGCTCCCAGCAGCTTGCTCCCTTCTGCGCTTCAGATGGGGGCAGTGGGAACATCAGTGCCAATTCAGGGGAGACCACTGGACAGAGGAAGCATTAAGCAGGAATGCTTCTTATGCTACGCCTATGGTAGCTGTATAGTAGTTTGCAAATAATCTTGAATTGCAGCTGGTGCAGACAAGCTTCAACAATAAATAACGTGTCCTTTCGGAATCATAAAAAAGATATCCTGAGCAGCAGAAGAGGTGGTGACTTAGCAGTTCTTTCAGAATTGGGGGCAAGTAATTTTTTTAAAAAAACACACCAAAACGGTAATGAGTAGTTGTCCTTTTTAAGGATGATGGATGATGATGGATTTTAGTTTTGTTGCAGCTCATTATTTTCAGACCCACTGAAGTCAATTACGTGGGTCTGAAAATCAATTACAATTATTGGCTTCAGTGGATATGAACTGAACTTTTTAGTTCTGAGTACCAAACTAGATATGACATGGGAAATCCAAAAGGAGTGCTGTCCTTGGACACGTTCATAGCAACCTGGGAGGTGATTCAGACTGGGACTGTGGCAATGGGGAAGGAAGGGTTCCCTACCCAAACTAAAACTGATCCTTCCCAAATCGGCTGCACGCTGTGCGGGACAAACGGGAGTTCAAATGAAGCTGCCCATCAGTAGAGTAAAAATGCTTCTCCAAAAAGTTTGAAGCAAAGTGGAAACAAATACAAAACTGGAATCTTCTTACGATACTATAGAAGTCCAGCAAATAAATTAAAAGTTCTGCTTCAGTGCCTGCAATACTTGGTTACATTCTTGCAATTGCTAATCTCTATGCACACAACTAAAAAGAGCAGCTAGAGCCTAATGCTAGAACCGAACCCTTCTTAACAGGGACCAGCACAATTCATTTCAGCTGGAGAGTGCAGCAGATCCAACTATCCACTCAACTGAAATGCAAATTAATGGCTATGCATATATCCACCCCCCACTGAAATGAATGGGGCAGCCTGTATGGGGAGAAGACTACCTTGTACAAAAGCATTTGATTCCAGCAAAGGGTACTGCTTGAAACACCTAAATGTTCTTAGGATAAGTAACTAAATGGATGTAAACATTGTTGACCTTGTGACTTGGTTATGAGGAAAGTATGAGCTACAAGCTCAACCAGTTTAGCAGGAAGGAAGTCTGCTGAACTGTTCTAAGGATGGATTATCAATCAGCTGGTTAAGTAAGGGGTGTTTGACTTGAGTTAATAAAACAGTATCAGGTACCAAATTTTGTGGGTAGGGAGTAGGGAAAGGGAAATAAACACAAGTCTGGGATGGGATATTCGCAATAAAAGGGATTTCTTTTCCAGCTGTGAAGCAAAATGAAATGCATGCTTTCAGTGTGAAGATGTTTAGCTTTTCCATCTCTGGAAGTTAAAACAGAATTTTATGGCTTGGGATGTAGTAAAAAACTGTTATACATGGAAGGACTCATGGATGGAAAAGCTGTGAATATGAACATTTTAGAGCCATTTTTACCACAATGTATGAGTCACTGGTGGGATAGAAATCGTTGTGGCTTAAAAAAAACAAAAAAACAGTGGCATTTTTATCCTGGATTGTGAGTAATGTAATTACAGATTGAGTTTCTGCAGCAGTGTGGGATTTATAACTGGAAAGCTTATGCTTTATAATGAAAGATTAGTCCAACCTGACCTTTTACGCTTGAAAATAAACGAAATGGCTTTTCTATAGCTAATTGTTTCTCATGGTGAACAGTGAGCTCTGCCTGGGATGATGTCATTGCTTCTATGTGGACAACAGAGTAAAAAAGAGTCAAGAAATAGGACTATCCTAATGCTCAATTCTATATAAGCACGGACATTTTGTGGGACCTCTTTCCTGTTTTGAGCTGGGCAAGATAACCAATAAATTACACAAACAGTTAATCAAAGTCCAGAACAAACAGAAATGCAATATACCAATAAAACATTAAATAAATTTAAAGAGAAACATATGGAGATCCAATCACATATCATCCTTGTATCCTCCCTATGACATTCTTGAGATGTATTATTGACATTCAAAAATATTTCACCAACATCTTGGTATTGTTTTCTTTGTGTGTGTGTGCTTTAAGTGGTTTTACAACTTCTTTTCTACTTCAATTGTTGTTGTTTACTTATTTAATGTAGGCCACCCAGAGACCTTTCAGTTTTGGGGTGGACTACAAATGACACAAGTAAATAAATAAATGGTCAATAAATCAACTGCTCCCTCATAATAGTCTATCACCATTTCACTCTTTAATTTCACTCATCCAAACTAAACAACAACAAATAGCAAAATGTAGCTCTCTGCTATGATCACAAACATTAAGAAAGTAGGCCTCATGACCTGATCTATATTCCTCTCCCCTCAAAAACAATTTTGGGCTCATTGAGACAACCTTACCTTTAACTTCCAATTTGCATTCAACTTCTGCCTCACCCAGACTGTTGACAGCCTTGCAAGTGTATGTGCCACCATCAAAGGGGCTGGGCTTGCGGATCTCCAAGGTGCAAACTCCCTGGTTACCAAACATTCTGTACCGGGGGTCATTCATGATAACTATTTTGTTCTTCATCCATGTTATCTTGGGCTGTAGTTAAAAAACAGCAACACGGAGTAGTTCAAAACAAAGCACAAGTTACATTTCCTTTTGTGGTTTTATATCAGTTAGGTTAGGTTTTATATTAGTTAGTTGGGTTTGTGGAGTGGGACACCTGTTTGGATTGTTTTTACTGTTATTTCCTAAATTCTATAGTTAGGTGTGAAGATTCTGAGGAAAGTCCAATGCAGGTTCCTTTACCTCTCAAAACCAACATCCCCAATAGACTTATTATCCAGATTATTATCCAATTTAAAGAAAACGGTGTCCATTAAGGTGATCATGTCTATAGAAAAAGAAGAAGGTGTATTTGAAGTTCCCAATATTTTGCTCACCATGCTCTCCCAATTTCTTTAAAGTAACGGGGAAATGAGACATCTGCTTAATTTCTGAGTCTCAAGCTGCCAGGAAAGCTTCAGAAGGAGTAAAAATTTGGCAACCGTAAGTAGCTCAAGTTTGTAGTTAGGAAATAATTAAGTAGTATGAGAGGGCCTTCTCGGTGGCTGCTCCCAGATTGTGGAAGTCCCTTCCATGGGATGCTAGGCTGCTCCCCTCTTTGCTTTGATTTCACTGGCAGGCAAAGTCTTTTTTGCGCAGAAAGGCCTTGGCCATTAACTGGCTGTTGTGGCAGGGTCTGCTGAGATTGGGTGTTTGGCTTGTGTATTGGTACTTTTGAATGATTTTAAGTGTTTTTTAGTACCGTTTTAATTGGGTTACTTATTGTTTTTCAATATTTATATTTATTGTGCATTTTTAGCTGTATCTATTTTGATCTATGCTGTGAGCAGCCATGGGTCGTTCACTGGGACAAAGGCGGGGTATAAATAAAATTAATGAACGAATAAGTACCGCAGTAGCTACACAGTAGAAATGAAGAAGCAAAGTAGGTTGTTTTTGGTCTTGGGATTACTTATCCATTTTGCTAAACAGCAGGAGTGTGGAAGAGTGGGGATCTTAGGAATCCAGTCTTTACTACAGCCTTTGCCAACCTGTTGTCCTCCAGATGTTTTGGACTACAATTCCCATCAGACCCAGCCAGGTGAGCACTAAGTTGGTGAAGCCTACTTTATTATATAATCTTTCCATTGCCTGCTAAGTTCCAGCCTGCTTTGTGAACAGATTAAAGCACTGTCCCATCTGGAAATGTCTGTGTTGATGTACAGACTTTTATGTCATTCAGCATGATAGCTTACCTTGGGATTTCCTCTGACGCTGCAGTTCAAAGTTGCATTGTAACCAGACACAGCATATGTATTAACTAAAGGCTGGGTAAACATTGGTGGTTCATTGAAATTGAAGTCCTCATAAACTGGGTTTTTGTAGACTTTCCCTGTAAAACAAAAGTTCAGGAACTGCTAGAAAAATAGTATTTTGTATTGTTTTAGGCATACTGTGTGGCTGATACTGTTCCTTTTAACAGGTATGTAGAATTATAAGAGCAGGCCTAGCATGTGACACACATCAACACGAAATCAAAAGAGGCTGCTTTAGAGGAATACTGGATTGAGGAGAATCATTGCCACAAAATACGGTTTACATCTTAACAACCCTGTTCGGAACCTTCACTCTGTTTACCACAACCAACTATCCTTTATACTATTATACTTTATACTATTCTATCCTTTATACTATTAGAATCCCTCAATTTTTTTTTCATTTCTACACTGATTCCATGTTTTCCTTCTTCCCTGTCCACAGGTGCTGAAGTTGAACTAAAGAGCAAGTGTGTGGAAGAGGTGGCACCTTAGCAGCTCACTAATTACTACAGCTTTCACCATCCTGGTGCCACAACCTGAGGTTGAGCTCCAAGACTGAGTGAAAAGTATGGATTGCTAGATCAGACCAATGGTGTATCTAATCTAGCATTGTGTTCCACAGTGGCCAACCAGACAGATGCTTATGGAAATCCCACAAGCTAATCAGGAGGCCTGGAGTATACTCTTATTATTTCCGTTGTTTGCTACGCCTGATAGTGTAGCCATTCAGAATCCTCATTTTGTTCAAAGCAGAATACCCTTCATAGAAAGAAGTGGGATGTGCCAGTTCTGCAATAAAGCAAGAGCTGGCCAAATCTCCCTTGTAAAGCAGACACAGGTTAAGTCTTCCTTATGTTCTCAAAATAGGATAGTAAGTAGTTTATGGGCTTTAGGAGCAATACGGCTTTGGCATAATATGCAGTGACAGGACGCATTCGCCTTTTCTGACCATCTTCCTCTTTCCTCAAAACTAGGTTGGTGTGTGTGTGTGTGTGTCTGTCTGTCTGTCTGTCTGTACACAAACACAGACACACACAAATGCACTTTAGAAGTATTCTGAATATTGCATTGTTTAGACAGGCCTTTGCAATATGTTTTTCTCTTTTTAAATGACTAGGACTTATTGATGTTCTATTGATGTTTATATGGATGCTTCTGCTGATTTTATCATAACTTCGTATGCTGTATACCACCTTGATATACATTTAGGAAAGTGAGGTTATTAAATACTTAAATAAACAAACAAATACATACATCTGCCTGAATGGAATGTGATTGCTGTGAGCCAACTATGTGAACTGGCTCTTAGCACAAACTCAACAGCATTCCTGCAATGAACTGAATGAGTAAATCCACACTATGAGCACTTGGTTGTGCACTGTGCAGAATGGCAAAATCAGACCACTACACATTCAGGCCAGCTGAAATTTTGTTTCAGCATTATATTGAAGGTAAACACAAAATTCCCATTGATTCTGGTGAGTGAGTTCTACATATTATGTGAATTTATCATCCAAGTAACTTGAACAAACAAGTGGCTTTTCCTTTCTCAAAGACAAATAGATTATGCCTCAACTCCAAGAAATGAGTGCTCTGTGCTCTGTGTTGTATTCTATTTCAGTGTCATAGTTTCAGAGTTAATCTAGCTAACCATCCTTGGCAATCACAGCGCTCTCTGTTGTCCTTGTTGCATCCTCACTGAGGCCACACATATTTTCAGCAAAGATCCGGAAGAAATACTCATTCCCAATGATAAGTTCAGTAATGGTAGCGCTGGTCCGGTGGTAGTGTTCAATGACGGTGAACCATTCCTGCAAGATACAAGGCCGGGTTAAATTGCTATGAACAACTCAATCCTGTGAGTGAGACTTACTTCCAGGGAAGCATGCATAGGACTTGCTTCCATTACTAAGCAAACTGACATTTCATAAATGGGTCCCCTGGGAAGACAACCAAGAGATCAGATGTTAAGGGATGTAAGAAAGTTCACCAAAAAGCCCAAGCTCAAAATAGGTGAAACAGAAATAAAGATATCCATTTAGTTTTATAAGTAGCAGCTGCTTATGTAACAAAACCAGCAACCATATGCCATACACCATTTCATAGGTTTTCCAAAGTACCCAATTATGGCAAATGATAAGCTTTTTGAATACAGTGGTGCCTCACAAGACGAAATTAATCTGTTCCGCGGGTCTCTTCGTCTTGCGGTTTTTTCGTCTTGCGAAGCATGGCTATTAGCGGCTTAGCGGCTATTAACGGCTTAGCGGCTATTAACGGCTTAGCGGCTTTAAGAAAAAGGAAACAAACTCGCAAGAACTTGCAAGACGTTTCGTCTTGCGAAGCAAGCCCATAGGGAAATTCGTCTTGCGGAACGACTCAAAAAACGGAAAACCCTTTCGTCTAGCGAGTTTTTCGTCTTGCGAGGCATTCGTCTTGCGGGGCACCACTGTAGCTGTACTATTTTGATGAAGCTGTACTTCATGAAATGTGAAGTAAGAAATCCTTTACTTACTTACTTACTTATACTTTGCAGTAAAATATGAATAGAAAGTGAATTCTAGTAATTGGCACATTCCCTTTAGTAGTCCAGATGATCATTCTAGGAAAGGAATATGCTGAAATTTGAGTTTTCTGAACTTAGGGGTGGGGAACAGGGCAAAGTTCACTTTGCCTATTGATCGCTAAAGTGCACCACAGATAAGAAAGCCAGAGACTGGAGTCGGGGGTGGGGGGTTGGGTGGAATGCAAAACCCTTCCCATTGCAAGGAGTTGTGTCCACATTACCTAGTTTGCTTGCTTTTTCTTATTTACACTTATAGATTGCCCTTTAAACCCTGTGATCCCAGAGCAGTGAACACACACGATGTGTGTGTTGGAAAATTCATTTAAACATAGTCAAAACATTGCATTGCATAAAATCAACAAAGCAGTTCAGCAGTAAACCTCAGAATCAGCATGGCCACTCACAGACCTCTTCCAAATTATTATTTATTATATTTGTTAGTAGGTCCCCCCCGCCCCCACTTAGAACTGACCCCGAAGATCTTAAAAGTATTACAAACATTAAAACTAAGTATACAAACCAAAATAAGATGAAAAACTTAGAAGCACAGCCTATGCGTTATATATCTATATACAGTGGTACCTCAGGTTAAGAACTTAATTCGTTCTGGAGGTCCATTCTTAACCTGGAACTGTTCTTAACCTGAGGTACCACTTTAGCTAATGGGGCCTCCCACTGCCACCGCGCGATTTCTGTTCTCATCCTGAAGCAAAGTTCTTAACCCGAGGTACTATTTCTGGGTTAGCAGAATCTGTAAACTGAAGCGTCTGTAACCCGAGGTACCACTGTATAGACATATTCACATGTGCAGACCTAATTCAATCTGCAGTCTGAGGCTCCTTCGTCTTGCCTGTCTTTGCTCCACCCTCTTCATACCTCTTTGGATTCTGGGAAACTAGGGGGGGAGAAGCTTCTGCCTCTGATTCTGAACTGCTCCCTGCCACAGCCTTTCCTGCTCACGAAACCCTGTTATCTCTTCAGCTTCTGACAACTCCTGCTCCCAGTTTGCTCCCTATGACCACTCATCGTCATCCCACCACCAATGCCCGGGCTCTGAGCCTTCTTACTTTGGAGGTTCCCTTGGGGGTTTCCCAGCTGGTACCTCCCACCATTGCTTTGCATGCAGCCAGTCCATGACATGCAGGGGGGTCACCATTAAAAAGGCACACTCTTGTGTTGCCACTCTCTGCACCTCCCTCATAGGGGGCACACAGAGAAGGTTGTGACATGATGATTGCAGGGTCTGGGGTGGTTTATGCCTGGGTGAGTATATTATATAGCTGGCTTAGAATAGTTATCCACTTTAAAGCAGCAATGCTGTTAATGGAAGATTAAATCCATTCAAGAATACTTTATTGAGTACAGCGTGCAAAGCACACTTCAAAAGACTTGTTCAGCTTGGCAGAGAAGTAACAGCAATGCAAACAGTATAAAGTTCACAACAGTCACAGCAACTGGGACCAGGGCAGGAGAGGACTGGGCTTTGTTTCATTTACTTATTTAGTAAAAAATGTATTAACTGATTTACTCCTCAAGTCAATTGAAGAGAGCACATTGGGGGGAAAACCATCTAAACATTACCAACAGGTCCAGAGTGCAAAATTAATTAGCAGCACTGCTGATTTTGAAGTTAATAGGCAGCAGAGAAAAATATCCAATGGTCTTATGAAGTAAGGGATTTTCCTGGCCACAAATATCACAGGTGCTGGTCAAATTTGTTGTAAAGTCCTTTGTAGCAGCAGCAGCAGCAGCAGCAGCAGCAGCAGCAGCAGCTGAAAAGGCAGCTTGTATCTTGTATCACAAAAGCACACAACATCCACAAGAAGTAGCAACCTTTCCAAACAACCTTGCACATAAAAGTCTCATCCTAAGATTTGCTGGGTCAAAAAGTCTACTTACCATGCTTTTTTTGTCAGCTTTTTGAATTGTGTACCCAGTTATGTTTGCATTGCCATCATCCTTGGGCGGCTGCCATTCCAAAGCAACATTCTCTCCCCAGACATCTGCAATTTTTACAATTTGTGGTGGGCCTGGACGATCTGTGGCAATAAAGTAGCACCATCAATATTTCACACTTTTCTACAGCAACAATATGCTCAATTTGCCTAAGTGTTAAACAAACCATGAGTTAACCACAAACTGATGAGCAGTGGCTAAATCTTCAGTTTGGTTTCACACTGCTGTTCACTGCTGGAAACAAGAGTTGCTCGGCCAACACAGAATTTAACCTTGCACTAGCACCCATTAGATGATGTCATGAATTATGTTGGCTGATGGTTGGGTGCACATGGTTTGGGGGAAATGGCCTCGTGGGCCAAATTGGACCTCCGGGAGGCCAAAAGTGGCCACAGGCCAGATTGTCCCCAACTCTAATTTAAAAGATGTATTTCCTGTCTCCTCATCAAATGATCCCCCAAGTGACTTACATATTATAATAATACAGAACAAAATAATTAACTTGTCTCCCTTGGTAGTGGGGTGACCAACAGAGAGCTGGGGAGACATTACATTCCTGTTGTCTTAAGGGGCCTACTGTGAGCCCAGACACCATAGGCTAATTCCCCTGCAGGAAGCCTGCTTCCAGGCAGAACTGGCTTGTAGTTGTGGGGATTATTGTGTGATCAGATAAAATGCAGCTTCTGACTTGCCTCTCAGTAGCAGAGAAGCCAAGGGAGATGCTGGAGTGGGTGATATTAACACTTATTTCCAGCTCTCTGGTGTTCCTGCTGCTGTCTTTGCAGGGCTTACAGTGAGCCCAGGGAAAATAGATCCTCTCTCCAGAAAGCATGATTGAACTCAGTGGGCCTTAACTTCTGTGCAAATTTCCATAGGACCGGCTGTTATTCACTTGCAGAAACTGAGTTTCTAGTTTTACTGAATCAAATGGAACTACAGACTGATTCATATAACTGCCAGGCTGGTCCCTCACTCCAGCGGTAACATCTGTATTCTAATGATCATGTGCGTCAGGTGGATGATGCCAGCACTGAGGGAAGAGGTAGCACAATATCTACCCAAATTGTGTGGTTTGGGGTTTCAAGAGGTTACCTCTGCAGCATAGGTTCTGATCACCTGGAAATATCAACCACACTAATTTGATAATAATATATGTCCCATTACTCCCCCAATTGCACACTTAGGTGATGAGTATAGGGAGAAATTGAGAAACTAGAGGGCTGTATCATGCTTGGGGAAACCTGAGGCTTGTATAGGTACAAAATGTATTTAAAAACAACTCAAGGGCTAATAATAATAATAATAATAATAGCTCTGTGAAGAGTGAGCATGACCAGTAGCCACTGAACGTTAAGAATCAAAGGTGTGTAAGTAATAATGGAGCATTCTGGAGAATATCATGATTAGCTTGCTAAAACACTGAACACTCTGATTAGAAGATGAGGATAAACTGTATCATTTTCTTGCAGGTTTTACTTGTATCAACTTAAATGTCAGTATCGCATTTAAAAACTTCAAATATAAGAGTTAAGATACTTAAGCAAAGAATGAATGGCTGACATTCTCTAAATATTTTTTGAAAAAGAGCAGATTTCAGAAACATCAGCATGTGTATCCTCAAACCATCTAACTTTCTCAAAGGCATATTTGTGAGAAACTATTTTTCATTGTGATAATAAGGAAAACCTTCCAGACTCACACAGAAACTAGGTCAGGTGCAATCACAGCAGGAAGATTAACAGTTACATTGCTCCCTGGAGCCACTAGATTATCCTAGTTGGCTTCTACTGTATTGACTTAAAAACAATAACAACAACTAGTACAATCCCTAAATTTAATTTCTAGCTTTGCTCATAAAAAGTCTGCCACGTTTCTTTCTCTTTACCTCTGTTCCCTCTAACAAAGGAATCTGTGTGTTTCGCTTAAAGCTGGAGAGAGATCTGGGTAACTCTTGGATTTTATATTTGGATAGAACCTAATCCAACTGAGTTTGCAATTCATTCCCTCTTAAGACTGTGACCAAATTCAGACGTGATTACAACATCAAACCAGCTCTTTCCCTGTCCCATTTACCCCTACCTTCTTAAACTTCTATCCTGAAGAACAATGCTAGAGAGCTCGAAAGCATGATCATTCTTGTGACATTTTGGTTTGCTCTAACGAAAGGATTAATCTATTAAGGATTTGGAGCTTTAATGGAACAACACAGTTCCCTTTGCTTTTTATTGATAAATATAAAATGTAATCATTCGGCAAAGTTAAATAGCTGGAATGTATGTCAGTTTGACTTCCTGAACTTTCCCCTTCCATTTATCCAATATACACTCTTGTTCTGAAGTAGAGGATTAAAGCGATATCAGAAAGAAGTGTGTCATATTCTGAAATTTATAGAACCATAGAATTGTAAAGTTGGAAAGGACCACAAGGGTCATCTAGTCCAGCCCCCTGCAATTTTAATGCACAGAGTAATAAAGGATTCAACTATATTTTTAAAACTTATGATGTATCTATCTCAATATGCTGTCTCTTGTAGCAGGCAGTTCCAGACACCACAGAGGAACATACAAGAGAGTGGGTACTAACTCCTAGCTTCTTGCAGTCGTTTCAGGAATGCCCAAAACATGCCAAAGGATTGCTAGTACATCCCAGTTAACAGCCTATATTCTTATCGCTTCCGAATTTTTACACGTACCAACTATTTGAATCTCTATTGTGGCTCTATCCACCAGATTGTCTACTTTGACTTTCATGTCGTATTTCCCAGAGTGGATCCTCTCTGCCTTTCGGATGAAGATGATTGTGTCATTTTCACTGTTGCGGATGTTAATTTGGTTCTTATCTACATGAGCTCCATTTTTCTTCCAAGAGACCTTAGGTCTTGGTCTTCCCTGTGGGGGGAAAACAAACAAACATGTCCACGGACCAAATTTTATATGACTGTAGTATTATTTTACAGTGATCTTTAAATAAGGTTAAACAGAGAACTGCATGTTTAAGTCAAGGAGCTGATTATTGAACTATAACTGCAGGTTCATTCTGAACACATTGAGATATATTGCAGTTCTTTTGTCAAGTTATTTTCAAGGCAGAGGCTTCAAAATAACTCCCTGTGACTTAAATGACAGTAAGAGAAAGCTGCCTTTCTGATATTTTGTTTATTTGTATGATATCTTACCTGCCCTTTAGTGTAAGGTCCCAGGGTGGGTTACTCCAATATAATATGCAACAGATTAAACTGCTACAATTAGTTCAAACAGTTCAAAATGAAGCAGAACAATATATGGTATTTTTTTAAAAAATGTGGGTCCGACAAAGCAAAATACTTTAACTGTCAAATGCCAGGGTAAATAAGTGCATCTTCAGTAAATGATGAAAGCTGTACAATGAATATGCTAGATTCACCTCTGTGGGGAGGGAGGTCTACAATTTGGGGGCTACCACAGAGAACTCTCAGGCTACCATTCTCCACATTTCTGGGGGTGTCAGGGACTAGCAAGAGAGCCCCTTTTGCAGATCTTAACACCTGAGAAGGTTGAAAGGGTTTGAGACAGTCTTTCAGATATTTGGGGCCTAAGTCTTTAGGGCTTTAAACATTAATGAACATCCTGAAATAGGCCTGACAATGCACATATATGTACTATTATGATAAGCACATTATTAGTATAGTTTTGGGCATTCAGCATATATTCTTCAACCTTTTTGACATTACCAGCTAGTACATCTAAACAGATGCCATTATTTCCTCTTCTGGTCCTACAAATATTCAATGAGAGGCTGAAATACCTGTTTCTTCTAGTGACTTCTTGATAGTCCTGAGTAGTTCTGGGACTACTGGAAACTAATATGAACTTTTAAAAAAACAACAACAACAACCTCCAGTGATAGGACCTGCATATTATTGAACACAGGCAGAAAATCCAGTAGTACATGCTGCTGTTTTGACAATACAGGCAGCTCCCCGTTTACACGCGTTCAATATGTATGTGACCGTGTATACATGTATCACGTCAAACCCAAAAGTCATCCAGAAATGTCATAAAGACATCACTGAAACGTCACTAAAAGGGCAGAATAGGGGCAGAGTGGGGTGTTTGAAGGCTGTTTCAATGGGTTTTAATTATACGTGATATCACCGATGTGCACAATGCCATGGAATGTAACCTCTGCGTAAACGGGGGGCTGCCTGTGTCATGCAACATTCACATAAAGAATTATATTTATTTGTTTCTTACCTGGAAGGGAATAACAAGATTCACAGCTTCTCCAACCCTTCGAACGTATGTTTGCTTTAAGTGTCTTGGCAGACGAATCTTCGGGGGTTCTTAATTTGAAAAAAGAAGGAAGGGAAGTGCACTTGTTTAAAAATGTGTTTGATTAACTGGATCTGATCCTGGCTTCATATGCCGGTTAATAAACTGAGATTAAACCGAGATGAGCTGAAGTGCTGGATATGGAGCCTGCAAAACCAGAGCCAGTACTCTTGCTTTGTTAAAGGAAGTTGATTACTTTGGGCTATCGGCAGTGCTACAACCACAGGACTTGCTTCTTTGCTCCATCGTGCCTTTTGGACTCTTTCTTGGTAAAAGGACAGGGTAGACGTAATGGGAAACTGTGGTTTAAACAACCATTTTGGCTGTGAGTCCTGGAAGACCTGCTCCCTGATTTGCAGGCCCTTTTTGCCAGGCCTGGGAGGGTGGGGCCCTGACTGACTCCAGCTACAAAAGTTGAGGCTGCTGAATAGACTCTTGGGGTGGGATATTGCTTAGGATTTTGTAATTCTTCACGTTGAAGACCCCCTTGAGCATGGTTTAACTAAGGAAAGGTTGCACACAAATAAAATGATGTATGCATACATGCATCTAAGTGCTAAAGCTGGAGCACAAAGCAGCAAGCATGAGGGTGTGATGACCATGCAGGTCCAATACTCATTCTTGGTTCAATAAGACATAAGGTTAAGTCACGATTGTGACATGTGAATTGGGCCTAACTGTTTTCTAAAGTTTTCTCAAAGACAACATTTGGAAATGGTAAATCGGGGTGGGGTGGGGTGGGGACCTAATTAACACACACTTTCAAAACAGTATGAGAACTCAAACACAACCATCATTCGAAATTCACACTTCTCCAGATTTTGTGATGCAGTTCTCCAACCAATGTTTACAAAAATGCACATATTAGTGGGAAATGTGCATACAATGCATGTATTAGTGAAAACAACATACAAAATATATTAAAGGAAATGGCCTGCAAAAATATGTACATTAGTCAAAACTACATACAAAATTTTTCCTAATTCACAGGGAGTATTCAAAATATTCACATTTTCATTAGGACTTAAAAAAAAAAATCACGGATTGCTGCAGAAATGCGGAGAACTGAATTTCAGATTGTAAAAATGAGAAACTGAGGGAACCAACATGGACAGATCCCTCCACCCCTAGACATAAGTAAACAGCCCATCTCACCTATCACTTCCTTGACTAAAATTGGCTGTGGATGCATCCGAGGCTCACTAGGACCAGCAGCATTCACAGCTTTTACTCGAACAAAGATTTTTGCTCCAGTTGGCAGGCCAGTGATGGTGAATTTAGTTTTGTCTGTGAGTTCTGGATTGGCCACAATCCATTCTTCCGCTGAAGTAGGATAAAAAGCAAAAGGAAAGAAAGGACAGAAATTGATAATTATATATATGAAATGTGCTTGTGAATCACTAATTCCGTTTTTTAAAAAATTAAGTGTAGCAAACTCAATATATTTCACTTCCTGGAAGTATTTTGCAGCCAAACCACCAGTTTCTAATTTAAGGAAGCATATGAAGACTGTAAGAAATAAATGTTATTTAACACTTTCCTCCATTTTAAAAATCGACTAATACATTTATAATTAAAATTATAATCCCGAAGGGCAGGCAATCAATATATTATTGTACTGCCTCCTTAAAGGAATGTTAACATGCAAGCAATGTGATAATTATTAGTTGCAGTAACAGAATTTCACATGGAAGTTGATATCCAGAACACAGTTTCAGTCTAAATAATTTCCTATCTCTTTTAAATAAAGTTTTCTAGTTTTATTGTTGCAAAAATAATTAATGTGCAGGTATTATGCAGACACAGAATCATTATCCACACATGCAGCCATACTGCTTCTATGTTCCATGAATGCTTTTTTGTCCAACCCATATTGCCCTCAGTCATGTTTACACATACATCTCTGCTGTCCACTAAGTGATCCATGTTTTTCTATTGCTGCCACAACATTTCCCTTTAAACAATATTAAGAGTTCTGAAATGCTCTGAAAAACTCCAGGTAAACTGTAATTCTGGGATGGTGAAGCAATCCCACACAGACCATAAATATGCATTCGCATGTGTGTATGAAACTTCATTCAGAACTATGTGGTTGCTCCCGTGTGCACATGGAATACCCAGCAGGCAAATGTCAGCCACCCAAATCTCTGAAATAAAAAAAAACCCCAAGCTACTGAAAGCATACATTGCAAACTCAGAAGATAGCATGTTAGCAGAAACGATTTATTCACTGATGTTGCATAAGCTAGTCGTTTACACAGCAGAGCACACACTTGAATTTTAGTTTAATTCTTTTGGGCACAGAGTATGAAGGATAAGGACATAAGACGAGCCTGCTGGATCAAACCAATGGCCCATCTAGTCCAGCATCCTGTTCTCACAGTGGCAACCAGGTGCCTGGGGGAAACCTGAAAGCAGGATTCGAATACAATAGCACACTCCCTCCCTGTGGTTTCCAGAAAGTGATATTCAGAAGCATTGCTGCCACCAGTCCTGCCCCGCCCCCCGCCCCCATGATTCCATATCACTAGCATTGAAGGAATATCACTAGCTTCTATAACCCATACAGTTCATTTAGTACCAGTAGTATACAATATTTGCTATTAACTTCCACTGCCAACATCCACAACCCAGCTGTATAAGTGGTATGACAATAACATGAAGTTATTTTTCTCTTGCTGGTCATATAAACATGACTTGGCCTTTTTCTCTTTAAGTCCACTACAGTTACATATGAAATATCATTAGTGGAGTGACACCAGGATGAGAGGTGGGTAGGCTTGCCATGTTTATTTGCAAACAGTGAGTGAACTGCAGAGTGAGTTGTCTCAGGAGTAGTAACTTTCAAGAACACTCTGATGATTAAAAGATATATAACTGAGTACTAGCAGGCTATGCTCACAAAAGGTACTGGTAAATGAATGGGACTCTTACCAGCACACAACTTTGGAAGATCTCAGCCGCATTGCATAGAAAACAACTAGACCACCAGGCAACTTTCAACAGTGGTTAGAGATAAATCCCCTACAGTACTTCTAAGTTATAATGGGATTTATCTGCAGCCAATTTCATGAAGATGGGGGCCATCAACCTAATCCCAGTCTAAATACCGTATGTATTTATGAATACATATGAAACCAGATTCAGAACTCTGTGAATTATTCAATGCACACATGAAGCTCCAATCAAGCACATGCCTCCCCATTCACTTCCATGTCAAGGACTTGACTAAGCAAACAAATAGGGATATAGATTTAGGTAGGTAGCTTTGTTGGTCTGATGCAGTCGAAATAAATTAAAAATTTAAAAAAATTGTCCTGCAAGCACCTTAGAGACCAACTAAGTTTGTTCTGGGTATAAGCTTTCGTTTGCATGCACACTTCTTCTGTTTCAGTGTATCAGAAGAAGTGTGCATGCACACGAAAGCTTATACCCAGAACAAACTTAGTTGGTCTCTAAGGTGCTACTGGACAATTTTGTAATTGTTTTATTTAAATAGGGATATATGCATGGAACGGTCCCTGAAATTGCAATGAATGGGGAAAGTCTTTGTATGTGAGAGCGCCATGTATGTATTAGAGCTCTACACATCTGGACTGGGACAGTGGCCTTTAAATATATAACAGCTTAACTGATACTCATGACTTTAGAGAGAAAGAAGTTAGCTATTACTTTTCTCTAACAAATACAGAATTCACAAATAGCTTTGTCTTTTGCAGTCAGTTACTGAATAGGCTTTCATACAGAAAGAACAATGCATCATTCACACTTTGCAGAAGAAACTAACCATATTATATATATTTTTAAAAACTGGTTCTTCAGTATTATGTGAGTGGAGACAGTATGTGTTTCAGTAGGTGGATCAATGGATTTGGGCATATACTACCTGGGTTCATTTCCTACTTCAGCCATAAGCAAGCCACCCTTTCCTAGCTTCGGTTTCTCATTCGCGAAATAATAATAATGATCTATTGCACAGGGCTATTATGAGGATAAGCAAAACAACCGAGTCACATACAGTATAGTCTGTGCTTTTTTGTGATAGCACCATGTACCATGACCTCTCCCCCCCCCCCCCCCGGCCCATGATGGCCATTTTGTGCAGGTACTTACAGCACTTTTATCAAGATATAAGTTCTGGCACCTTTTGTTTAACCAAAAGAGCACTCTATATAGTATAATAATCGAGATTCCATGAACTTCCCCCCCCCCAAGTCACTGTGGTATTTTTGTATTTTTGAAGGAGTGTGTTCCCTCAAAAACATCACTATTATACTGTTGGGGGAGGGGAATCAATTTCAGTAAGAATGTTTAAATATCTTTGTTGCATACTTTACCTTCCAGGTCATAAGTTGCCTCCAGAAATTCACCTTCATACAGTTCTGCCGATATACCTTATGAGAGTCCACCATTAAAGTTAATTCAGAGACACCCACTTTCACACAGGCAAGATATGAGTCAGTTGTTAGTAATCCCTGTTAGTAACTATACAGAGATATGTACTGCACCTTGAAGAGGAGCTTTGGGATTATCAAGGAATTGGCTAGATAATGAAACAGAGCTTGCTTCTTCTACACATGGCAAACCATTGTTTGCCTATTTCCCCCCTGGCCCCTTTGGTTCCAGCAGACTGAGGCTCCAACCACAGATCAAGGGGAAACAGCACAATCGGGGGGGGGGGAGGGGGGAGGATGATGCCGTTGAAAACTCACAGGGTTTTGGTGTCTTCTCTTCAGTCTTGATCAAGCCCCCGTCTGTCTCCTCACTATTATTTTGCTCTGTACCACCACCACTGTCTCCCTTGCCCTCTGTAGTGGACTCCTGAGAACCTAAATAATTTGGAAAGCACATTTGGTACTTTACAGTCATAGGCAGAAGAGCCTTTGAGACTGGTATATCTGAGCATCCAGAGAGAAAGATGAGGTTTGAAAGAAGAGGAGATAGGCAGGAGAAATCCATTGAGTAAAAGAGAAGATTTAGCAGGAAGAGAAGATTAAAGTGTAGGCCAGAATAAGAAAGAGAAAGCTAAAAAGAAATAGAACAGTGGTGTGCAGAGGTATATGGTGGTATAAGGTGATCTGGAAGTCTGCTGGCATGATGTATAGTTGCAGTTGACTGAACTCAGTTTCTCTAAGTATCGCCTGTCAAAGAGTTTTCATTCACAGTTGTTACTTTGCTTTTCTGGCTTAGAACCCCATTGTGCATACCATGTATGGTTCACTGGATAACATTAAATGATTAAAATCTATTTAAGGATTGGTGTGCCTTGCAAGGCGGGCCTAATGACAAAAGTTTTCAGGTTTTATAATCTGTCTTGATATTGGACAATAAAACAGGCAGGAAGCAGAAAACTGGACCTGGAGAGTAATTGTGTTGTAGGGTCTGCTGATGACAGCACTGCTGCAGTGATCTCAACAGGTTTTATTCTTGTGTTGCTGGTGTTTCCATTAAGACCCTGATCATGAGTTTCATGTGAATACATGTGTCCACATTCAGGACAAAACCTGGGGGAAATAAAGGTGTTGGAAGACAAGCTTTACTTGGGGTTGTTCACCTTGAGGTTGAGAAGGCACCTAACGTTGTTTCAGGGCTTGCTGATTTGAGACAACAGACTTGTTGGATCAAATTTAGGTTATTGTGTGCCACCATATTCAGCTGGTTATGTTTTTGTTATGTTGATTCCGGAGAAAAGGAAATACAAAACAGGTAAGGGTATCTCTCTTTTTTTGCAACATTTTATTTTAGCCAATGAAAACTTCAGTGTCATTTGCAAACTTACAGAAATATGTCTGTGGGGATTTTCCCTTACCCATTTTGCATTTACAATGACTGTTATTCTGAGAGAATAAAAGAGTTGTGAGCCTCTAATCACCTAGGTGCTTATTCTTTTATTTTCAGTTCCCAGTGCCTTCGTATTCAATTCTTGATAGCATAGATGAATGACTGAATGAGTTATAATAATTTATTATTACGGTTGGAGACCAGCTTGTGCACTGAATGAGTTAAGAGGAGCATAATATCTGATCCTGTCACTAAGTCCATGAGTAATGTTTGATCCTTTAAACTTATATGTGTATGTGTAATGTAATATTGGTTCCACTGAAAGCTGAGGATCCCCTTTATTAACTTTAAAGAAGCCGCAATGTTTCTCACTTTTCCAAGGTCACTCTGCACTATTATCATAGAAATTGTCTGTGCATTAAAGCAGACCTAATAAAATTCCATTCAAGGGCAATAGACAAGAGAGAGAGAGAGTAAAAGAGAGAAGGAAAAGAGAATAATTGATAGAATAAGTAAGAAGAAGAGAAGGACAGAACTGAAAAAAGTGACAGCTGAAAGATTGACAGTCAAAGAAAGTATACCTGGAGATCCAGGTGAAATATTAAACGTTGTAGAAAAATTAGTTGAAGGAAAGGTACTGGAAAAAAGATGAAGAACAGAGATATTCAGGTACTGAAGAAAAAATGAAAGGAAACAAGGCAGAACAAGAGATATAGCAAGAGCAAGAGAAAACACCAAGTATTTTTTGTATTTTCCAAAACGTTTTGTTCCAAAGTGTTACAATATACACATGAGTGGCATTAACTATATATATACATACACACACATAAATATATAGGTGTATATCTAGAAATGCAAAGCATAAGTAGAATACACATCATGCACACAGTATTGTCTGTAAAATACATCACTACTGTATTTTATGTGAGGTGGGTAACACCAAAATGGCAGACGTGGCTGTCATTTTGAGGGATCTTCTTAATGCTTTTAAGCCTATCTGAAAGAAAAAAGTAAGAGTTTTGCTCTGTTCAACAGGTACACAAGGAATTTTGTTCTGCTGATCCCTGAAGTGTCCCTTGAAAGACATTTCTACCTATGATGGCTAGATTTATGATTTACTATGCATATCACATCCTCCCTAGTTACAAAGAATTTGGGACTGTTGGCTAATTCATATATTCTTGATTCATTACTCCAGTTTTTTTGGACTAAAACTCCCATCAACTCCAGTCAGCATGGAGCTGAGCTGAATATTTGGCAAATCCACTTTCCCAGGGAGATGAAGTATGGTATGAAACTTCCATAGGTGTCACAGAAAGCTAACTTATTCTTGTATTTTCCCCATGCAGTTCAGACACATTGCTCTTTATCAAGGATATTGCAAAGAGACTGGGCTCTAATGCACTGTGTAAACTTCAATAATAAATCAGTTTTCTACATCACCTGTGGTTGCTTTTTCCTGGGGGTTCCCTACCCCAACCTGTAAATTATGCTGCAGCTTTCTTGTGTCTGGAAGGCTCTACCAGACCTATTAAAATTTTCTTTAATTTGTCCATTTAAAAAGAAAAGAAAATCTATTTATTTTCCAGTTTTCTTAAATTTCCCACATTGAAGATATTTGGCAATGTGGGAAGGGGTTTAAGTCCCTGTTGGTTTAAACACTCTGCATAGCTATTCATCTGTAAATGAGGTTCTTAATAATAATAATAATAGGTCTAAACTTCTGCTATAGGGTCAAATAACACATGATGTTAATCACACGGTTTGTCCTTGTGTGCAGGATTTTTTAAAGTGTAGGGACCAAAATCCAGATTAGGACCCTGATATGGGAGGGGGAATAAAGAAGCTTTAGCCATTTGAACCATATGGCACTCCTATCAGGAATGGGTTCCCCACAGGGGGCAGGGGTAATCTAAATCAGGACTGCATCAGGGAGTAAAGAGTCCCACACCAGGGTCCAGATCCAGACCGGAGGCAGGAAAGAGGGCACTGGCTATACATGAAAGGAAGAAAAATCCTGCACTCAAGGGCAAATCATGTGATTAATGCCATGTGTCGTTTGGCTCATAGTCGAAGAGTAGAATCTATTAAAACATCTTAATACTCTTTAAGGGCTTTGTTCATCAGGGAAATAGTGGCAAGCTTTTGCCAAGGCAAATGATAGCTAGCCATAGCTTACGGCGTGAAGCCACTCACTTGAACCTTTAATCTCAGAGGCGTGAAGGCTGCCTGTTCTTTGCTATTTCTGTTAGGGTGAGTGATGGAGGGCAAAGCAGAAACTGGAGACCGTCCACTTTCCTCCCAACTGTTGTCTGCCACTCCTCTGCCCGCCACACAGTGCTCCATTCACTTCCTCTAGAAACAGATACTTCCCAAGCTTCCGGCTGGTCTTCCTGTACTGTAAAAGTTGTATAGACTGCCTATACCAGTAACACAGCTACAATTAAATTTAGGGCAAGAATATCCTCCTATTCTTGAACATTTCACAGAATAGCTATTATCGAGACACTGCAAACTTGGGTGGGGGAATGCTTTCCCAAATGAACTGTGGAAGTTCTGGACTTCACATAGTGTCCCATTTCCTTACCTGTTCTAGGTCACATCCACATCCACTGTTCTTCACTTCAGATCAGTTGCCTTTTTAACTTATATCAAGGCTCTAGAGTGTGCCACACCATGTACACAGGAACAACTGCAGTTTTAGAGATCTGATTGACACTGAAAATCTTCATCATATAATAGGGCTGGCTTCAACATGATAAATGCCCCAATTTGCATGCAGCCAGATATGGGTTGAAATAATTAACCCTTATTCAAGTGTGGCAAAGCAGGTGTGATGGCTCAATCACCAGCTCAGCTTGCCTATCAGCACACAAAATCAAAGTTTAGGGAAATATTCTGAAACACCAAAATTTAGAAAGGCCAATCTAAGAGTTGTGTTGACCTGACCAAGTAAGAAATGACAATGGGAATAAGGGAGGGGCAGTCATATCTCTGAATTAATTCTTGCTTTTCCTTTGTCCTTAATTTTGTTTCTAAAGTAGCACCTAGCATTGCTGCTGAAAGTGGACATGGCATTTCCATACCAGTGTAATACATATTTTACAAGGTTTCAGAATTTTGAGCTGCTGGTCTGGAATGCTAGTTAACAAGGCAAGACCAATATTATTTTTAGCAACAGTTGTACCAACCATTTAGAAGCCGGATAGGATAGAACCACATACTTGACTTGGAGAACCCCCACTTACAATATAGTCGCCTCAATGTGAGTGAAAGCAGCTCTCTATTATAAAAAGTAAGACATCTCTCACCTAACTGAAGAAAAATTCAGTTGTCACTTACTTCCTTCAAAGCAATACTCTATAATATAGCCATCTAAACCTGCAGCTCCAATTTGGTCTGGTGGCCGCCATTTCATGGTAACTGTAGTATCTGTTACGGAATCAACTGCCAGGCAGGTGGGTGGACTCGTGACAGCTGGAAGCAATGAAAGAGAGTGTCTGAGTTTGCAATACAACCTTTGCTGCATGTTTGCATCAATGTCTATCTGTTGAAGTCCTTTAACATTTTGTTTTGATCTCTTCCTCTTTTGTCCTGTTCCCACACTTTTCATTTTATTTGCACACTTTCTTCCCCTTGGGATTGTGTGCAGTTTTGTGGATCGCATTAATTAAAAGTTGCTGCAACATTTAAAAGAAAATGGAGGAACTGACTTAGACATATCTTTGGTATTCTGATAGTCTGATTATTTGACATTGTATATTATCTACCCACCCAAAGGCACAAAAGGCTTTGAGGGCTCGCTTGGTTTCGAAGTGCCTATGGCATTGACAGCAAACACCCGGACTTCATAGGCAACTCCTTCAATCATCTTTTTGGGCTCAAAAGTTGTTTCTTTAATAAGGTCAAAGTTCAGCCTCATCCACCTGGAACTTTGCTTCTTTTTCCTCTCAATGTAGTAACCTAAACAAATATAAGCAGAATTACAATTATTATTTTTATATAAGAAAAACATAGACTCTTACAAATGTATACATTCTATTATTTCATTAGTTAAAGAGATGGAACTATCAGGAAGAATATTATAAATTTTTAGAATGAAAAAAATAACAATAAAGAAGTCTCATCTTTCTATAAATGTACCTTCTTGGGGGTGTATGGTGTGTGTGTACAGTGGTACCTCGGGTTAAGTACTTAATTCGTTCTGGAGGTCCGTTCTTAACCTGAAACTGTTCTTAACCTGAAGCACCACTTTAGCTAATGGGGCCTCTCGCTGCCACCGCGCTGCCGGAGCACGATTTCTGTTCTCATCCTGAAGCAAAGTTCTTAACTTGAAGCACTATTTCTGGGTTAGCCGAGTCTGTAACCTGAAGCGCATGTAACCTGAAGTGTATGTAACCTGAGATACCACTGTATAGTTAATTTAGTTAATAATGCAACATCTCTTTTTTTGTTTTGTTTAACCATCATCCTATTGAGTTATATTATTTTTACAAATCTGGCCAATAAATTGTCTTGCACAGATGAAAAAACTTGTAACAAGGTGTATATTGGTTGTTCTTGCTTTTGCTCATATTGGAAGGTAGTCTTGGGGTTCCTTGTTATGTTATATACTGTAATTTCCTGTATGGTATCCATTACTACCTTCCAGAATTGCTTTATTTTTGCTCAAAATGCATTTATAAAGTACAAAAATACATGTATAAAATCTGCTTTTTTATGCATCCAGAAATTCATATAAATTTCATAAATTTTGCTTAGTTTGGAGGGAGATAGGTGCCACTTGTAAGCAAGTTTGAAAAAAAAGTTATTTGTGGTTTACACTTATTAATAAACATGGTATCATTTTATGCAGCCAGGTCCAATCATCTTGATCTATAAGGACGTTAGCTGATTAATAATAGCTGATTAATATAAGCATAAATGTAATATCATTGGCTAATGGCCCAGAACTTCTAAAATGAACAAAAGTGAACATCACAGAAAGTATTTGTTTGACCTGGGCAGCACAGTGGTATCTGAATAGGTCCCCACCCCACATTTCCTAGAGAAAGCAAAAACCACCAGTTAAAATGTTTCTGCTTATCCATGGAATGCCATGTAGCTGAAACACCAGTTTGATTTCTTGTGCAAACTGTCGACAAAGCATATTACATGGCCTAAAGCTATCTATATTTACACTATTCAAACATTTCAAGGCTGCTTTATACATGTTTCCTAGAAACAGGTAATAACTGATTTTGAATCAAGTGTGGGCAGTACTAAATAAAACAAGAAACATATGACTGTTGCTGAAAGTTGCCTCTCCATATCAATTCCTCCTCTCAAATCTTGGTGACAATATGTAGTATATCCTCAGGCTCACTACTCACACCTGCTCTTGAGCACTACCCCTTAATCTCCCCACCCCCCAAAGTTTTCAATCATTGCCAGCAGCGGCGTAGCGTGGTTATCAGCACCCGGGCAAGCAAGTAATTTGCGCCCCTAACCCGGGCAAGGCAATAATTGCGCCTAACCGGGCAGGCAAGTACAGTAATTTACTCTCCCAGCACAGCCGATCGGGGAACCACCATTCTTTAATTTCCCAGAACTCGCCACCAGAACTTGCAGACCTTGGGGAGCAATGTGCAGAAATTAAATGAGGCTCCTCAGTCACCAAATTTGCGCCGTTGGATCACTGCTGGCAAGGCTTGCTGTGAAGCTAGTAAAAGTCTCACCTTGGAGCTGTTGGTTCCCAAAGCACCCAAAAACCAGATGGCTGTCAGGTATTTGGAAAGCGCTATGCAAGCGACTTTGTCATGGAGGCAGGACAACCCACCTGTCATAAGATTGACAGGTGGTTTGTCCTGCCCACCTGTCAAAGGTGGCCCAGGGGGGTGGAGACAAATATTGATCTAGCCTACCAGACTGAAAAGGTTTCCCTGAATGTGTGATGCAATGTTTATAATACTCCAAGTTTCTCTTCCTTCAAAAGTGATAGTCAATAAAGTGAAACTAGGGTGGGAAAGTTGGAGGCAATTACTGTTATATCACATGCTGTTTTTCTACATGTTTCCAGACACACAGAGAGAAGGCTGTGCAGGTTTTTTGCCTGTATATAAAATGGTATCTATGAAGTCATATACACAAGATGAAAATCTCCTTTGTTGGTTCTCAGAAAATTCTATTTTAAGAGACAGCAGCTAGATGCCCACCATGTGGGCACCAACTCAGAGGTTCCCTTTAAATTTGACAGTAAAAAGCTAGGAAATATCAAAATAGCTGTGCAGATGCTAGATCTACTTACCTAAGATAGGCGACCCACCATCATATGCTGGAGGTTCCCAGTTCATAATGCACCAATCTTCTCCTACTTCAACCACATTGGGTGCCGCAGGAGGGTCAGGAATATCTGTTGCAAGCAAAAATATTTTTATTTCCTTGGATAGCCTCCCCTACTAAACATGCTGATATTGCTGTACAGTGAACTGTTTATTGCTTATCACTAAAACTGGAGCAAAATTGGAGCAAAAAGTAGACCTTTAATAAACAAACTGCAAAAAAAAAAAAATCTAGACAAGACCGAGGTGTAAATCAGCACTCGACTACAAAGAAGTTCATTGGCAGTCTTTGAAACAATAATTAGTCCAGTTTGTACATCATATTAAACCATGCTGCACAAACACCCCCTCAGTGTTCTTCCACTCATGCTGCTGCACCACAGACAAAACAAGTCTTAGAAGTGATAATTCTGTCAGGGCAAGCATTTCAGCTTACCAGGCAAAATTATCCCCCTCTCTTCCCCCCGCATGTTGTTCCAGGGATTCTCCCAACCTTCCCAGAGTCAATTTAGAGGAGGAGACATGCAGGGGGAGGAGAGTGGAAAAAGCCCAGTTCCTCAAACAGAAGCCCTTGTTCGGGGCTTATTAGTTGAATCCTACCTGGAGTCTGACTTGTCAAATCATCCAAACCTTCGCAGAACAGAACCAGTAAGTGAAAAACAAACCTTGGTTACCACTCATGGTTTGTTTGAAGAGAAAAAACCATGAGATAAGATTTGGGCGACATATCAAGACATAGTCTGGGTTGTTTTGTCAGTGACACAGTAGGAGAGGAGCACTGCAGGAACTTTTGAGCAATGTGTACAAGCACATTGAAACTATGCTTTAATGTGACAAGCAAACCAGACCATTATCTCTTACCTCAGCTCATTTAAAATTTAGTTTTGTATACCACTCAAACACTTTTACTGAACATTGAACAGCATAGTTTAAAAGCTATTACTTTTTCAAGAAAACAAGCAAAAATCAAATGCAATCATATTAAAAAATAAAAAAGCAGGGGCGGGAAACCCATAAAATCAGTGAGGCTAAAAACTATGGGTTGTATTCCATTTCTACTCAAGAGTAAATCTATTAATAGACAGGATTAACTTAGATCCATTAATTTCAATGGGTCTGCTCTGAGTAAAAGTTACTTGGCTACAGCCCTATGAAGTACTTTGTATATTGAAAAGACCCACAGAAATTATAAATAACAACGCAAAACTAAGTATTGAACTGGAAAGACTTACCAACCACTTTGATGTTGATGTGGGCTGTGTCTTCTCCTGCCTCATTCTTTAGCATTATTCTGTAGACACCTGAGTCATCTCTCTCAGCTGAATCAATCACCAAACAACTGCTGTCTGGGTAATTATCTGCCCGTATTCTGGCTGCAGGATCCATGAGCCACTATCAATTATGCAGGGGAGGGGAGGAGGAGAGAGAGTTTACACCATGGGACTGAAAACCACTAGGAGATTGGAAATAAGAATCAAAGCATGATATCGAAATAGAAATCTGCAAAGCTAGCCACAAGATATATACAAAAATCTAACAGTAATTTGAATAAGAGATGACAAAGTGCTCAACAGACAGGGCTGGCCAAAAACATTTTGGCACCTGAGGCAAACTACAAAATAGTGCCTCCCTGCCATCATGAAGTGAGTGAAGATCTACATGGGGACATGGGTGGGAGGAGAACAGCAGTGCCTCCTGTTTGCCAAGAGGCCACTGCAGATGTGGTGGGGGGGCGGGGGGGCCCTGCCGAGTAGGTGAGAGATCCGACCTCCAAGGAGCACACCACAGCTGTCACTGCTACCGCAGCAGCAGCAGCAGTGGGCAATGCATTCATTGAAGGTTAGATCTGTTGCCCCTGTAGATCCTTCCACCTGTGGCTGTTGCCTCACCTTGCCTCATGGGCCAGTCCTGCTAACAGGAGAAAACAAATGTTTAATATGGAGCATGTCAGTGGGTCACACACTCTGTAGTAATGTCCAAACTGGTACCACAACTTCTTTTGGTACTACCACTAGAAGCAGCATTTCAGAGCATAGTCCCTTACAAAAGCATGTAGGAGGTGCTGGGGTGGAGTGCAACTGAGAATGAATCAGCCACCACATAGCAAGCTATAATATGTGCAGTGAAATGAGCATCTACACAGGATGTTTTTAGAACGTTATTAACTCTCCACCCAACTCTCTTGCCACACTTCCTCTCTTTCTTTGACACACACCCTCTCTCTCCCTTCTGTACAGGTGAAATACATTGTGGGCAGTCCCTACAAATCTGCCTAGTTATTAAGTAGTTAGACTGAGATGCAATGGGCAGGAGTGAACTGCAGCGCAGCAGTAGACCACATGACTTGAATGCAGAAGTTCCTGAGTTCAATCCCTAGCATCTCCAGTTGAATGAATCTCAGGTAACAGTGTAACAGAGCACCTTTGGGCAGCAACTGCTGTCAGAGTAAAACATACTGGGCTGAATGGATAAACAGTCCAAGCATGCAAAAGGCAGCTTCCTGTGTTCCTATCACAAGCAGCACCACACAGAACATACCACTAGTTGACACACATTTGTGTAACTGCAGTAGGGACAAGACAGACTCCCTCCAGCATAAGATATGAGGGACATAAATCCCTTCATCTTCAAAACCTATTGTGAGCTAAGTCACCCACCACATCACTAGGAGGAATGATGAGATGGTAGGATGACTATTGATTAAACAGTACTCGCACTTCCGCTTGAATCCATTGCTTATTCCTTACCCTCTTCTTCCCCCTGCACTATTTCATACAAAATGATAACTGGCTTTTACATTTTATTGTGAAAATAACCGCAGCAATTATGGAGCTTTTCATAGGTTAGGCACCCTCCTGTTTTAAGGACAGGATGTTTAGTCAAGGATGGCTCACTCTTCTGCTTCGGAAGGTTCTGGGCATGCATCTTCTGCTTTTTATCAAAAAGGTCCCAGATTCAGTTCCCAACATCTGACAGTCGGGTTGGGATGTCGCCTGTCTAGCAAGCTACTGCCAGTCAGTCTTGACATTACAGGGCACTGCATTTGCTCCATAGGACGCACACACATTTCCCCTTCATTTTTGGAGGGGAAAAGGTGCGTCCTATAGAGCGAAAAATTGCTAGGAGCAATCATTAATCACCCAAAATTTAGCTCAAAGTTATGCCACTGTTGATACAGGTTACTCTGCTACCCATATTTTATTATAAAACACAACAAAACTGATAATTTTTAAATACTTGACATCAGATTGCAGATATATGTCTATGCTATAGTTGTACCTTGTCTCCTCTGCTCCACATAATCTTCGGAGCAGGCTCTCCAGAGACAGGAATTTCAAGACGTAACTTGGTTCCTGCTACAACTGTCACTGTATTGCCATCACCAAGCCCGTCAAGGTGGATTTTAGGAGGATCTGCAAAATTGAGACACTGAGGAATTTGCACAAGGAGAAGAACATTTCATTATGTACAAAGCCTAACAGTACAGAAAGCAGCAGATGAAAACTTTCTAAACTTGTCCATTTTTTTTATGCTTGAATCCTGGAATTGACAAATCATCCCGTCCTATATGCTGTCCCAAACATTGTTAGCTAGCCATCCATACAACAATTGGCTCCCTCATCTGGTGCATTCAGAAATGTTACACATTTTTGGTTCTTTCATATGTTATAATCAGGAATATTACAGGTTTTCCCCAGCTTCAGTATACCTTCACCATATGTGTCTTATGGCATACTTATCTTCATAAGACTGTCCTCTGCAATACTGAAGAAGATATCTCCCTCTTAGCAGGTATGGGCAGCCTTTTGCCCTTGAGATGTTGTTGAACTACAGCACCAACCCAGCCAGCGTGGCCACTGGACAGGAATGATGGGAGTTGTAGTTCAGCAACACCTGAAGGGCCAAAGGTTCCCCACACCTGTTCTTAGAAAAGATGGTCCAAACAAAGCCAACCTAAAACCAAAGGATGTCACAGAACATCTCACCAGTCAGGGAAGCAGTGATGCTCTCCAGACCAGAGCTGTAGCTAGGTGTACTTGCACACCTGGCAGAACCATCCAGATTGCGCCTCCTAGCCACGGACAAGTTAGCTCTTCTTTTCGCCTCTCCTCCAACCCCCAACCCCCATTCAATTCACCCTCTATTAAAAACTTTCTTATGAGGCAATAATAAATATTTATATTTTGGACATATTTTTAGCCAATTTTTCACACACATACCCCATTGCCTGCGCCCCTGTGGTCCACCTCGCCACCCCCCAGTTATGGCCCTACTCCAGACTAATGGCCAAACCAGGCAATGATGCAGCATTAGCTCCAAACCTGGACATTATACCAGCTTCCTATTCCACAGATTGTTGGAACCCACCAGAACCAGGAGGAAACCCCAGGTTCTAAGAGAGATATGAGAGTAGCAGGACAAAGCCAAAACACATTGAAAAAGATGAGAAAACATCCTGCAAGTCATCCCACTGTTCAGAAGTTTGTTCAACTGCAATATTGGCTTGTGGCGGACCTTTCACCTGACCTTGAACAAAAGCTACCATAGGCTGTGCTGTGGTTTTAAAAAGCAGTCAGCCAACAGCATCTGCAGAGTCACATCCTTAACTTAGTCCAACCTTCTTTTCAATGCAGGATCTAAATATAGCCCTCCATATACCTTTTACAATAAATGTTCTGCTCTCTCTTCTGTCCCCTTGTGTTCCAGATGAGTAGCAGCATTGCAGAAAGAGCAAGGAATCCAGTGGGATCTTTAAAACTATCAATTTTACTGTGAAAAAACAAACGTGTTTCTCTCTCTCTTTGTGTGTGTGTGTGTGTGTGTGTGTGTGAGAGAGAGAGAGAGAGAGAGAGAGAGATATCTTTGTTGTTAGTCAACAAGGCACCACAAGACTCTTTGCCGTTCTTGCTACAACAGATACACATGGTTGACCCTCGAATGTATCTCACTATGCAAGCCCCAGTGAACTGCAGGCATAGCTTCCAGCTCTACCAATTTCCCAGTATGACACAAATGTTCAAACTCAGGGGAAAAAAGCAACCACTAGCAAATCATCTAGCTGATCCAATCTCTGCTTTAAGGCCAACAGTCCATTATCCCTATGATCCATGCAGGCCTGCCTCTGAACATGAAACACTTTAAAAAAGGAACAAACAGGAACTCAAAAGTTACCTATAATATGCACTTTGCAGGGGATGTTGACATTATAGGCATCTGGAACAAACATGTACTCTCCATCATCCTCAATGAGTGATTTATCAACAATTAGCCGATGGATTCTGTGGAAATCAAGACGGAAAATTTAAAGGGAAAAAATATGCAAGAACTTAAAGTATGAGACCATATACTATACACTGCATTATATGACAATACAATTCTAATGTCATGAATTAGACCCAAATTGTTTCATATTTCTGAATGCAAAGATGAGTTTACACTTACATTTTTACAGACATTTCATACCATCAAGTTTGTAAGAGGAAGAACTGATGGATGCCACTAAAATTTATGGGCTCCTCCTCCTGTGTGTGCAGCTATAAATGATTTCTGCCCTTTGATTTTCAAATTATGATGCCAATACCATTTTTACTACTTTAGCAGCTGGGTGCTCATCTACTCTCCTAACTGAGAATAGAAGAAGCACTCATGTAGCAGCACTGATCTGACTGCTCCCCCCCCAACCTAGTTATTAATTTAAAACGCAAATGTTAATTATGAGTCTTCCTTTACTCATCTAGTTTGCCCCCTTTTTTGGTTATAAATATATGGGTCTTACTTGTTTTTCATAACCAGAATGTCCCAAGATGGCTGTCATTTGAAATCAACAACCTTTATCGTTGTTGTTGAGCTTTTTTGTAGTTTCCCCAGACATTTCAGCAATCCCGCCCCTCATGCTGCTTACGAGGGCTGAATACCTGCCGGACATATGGCAACCCTACCTACCTGTAGTAAAGGAATGGCTCCAGGCATTTTTTAACCCTGATCTTCAAGGATTACTGTTTTGCATGCCTACCTTCCTTTGTGATATATCTTAATGCGGTCACTGGGTTGGAGAAGCTGCCCATTTTTGTACCACTTCCCTTCTACGTTCTCAGAGATCTCACATTTCAGGGAGAGCTCTTTGCCAAGCCTCACAGTCTGGTCTTCCAACGGATGTAGTATCTTAAGTGGCCTCACTTTGAAACAGAGAAATGAGAAAAATTATTGCAGCAGTTCATCCTGATCTGTTTATGTCAGCGGTGCTGAACTGGAGCATATCTGGACCACAGGAAGCTGTGTACATTCACACTGCGAGCTCCAATGTGCATCTAAGAACCTACCAAGTTTTGTATTAAGATCAAGCAAGACATGAATTGCCTGAATACAATGAACATGCATGTTTTTGTTTTGTAAGTAGCAGCCACAAATAGCCGATTCAGATAAGCAATTTTTGTTAGGTTCATGGCAGGGAGAGAAAGAGTTGAACTTCTCCCCAGCTCCACAGTCCTCCTGAGGCTGCTCAATCTTTCCCAAGTCTGCTATGTACAGAACAAATATGTAATCTTGTATTTTATTCAGATGTTTTATCCTATGCTTGTTTCTTTGTTCTTATTTGCTCTAACAATTATCGGTTTTTAAAAAAAACCCTCACTGCTATTTTATTTATATGTTTGTTTTGTTTGTTTTTTATCCTGGTCTGTGACCGTAATAAAGTTCATTCATTCATTCAAATATGTACATTGACTGCATTTATGCAATTAATTTATTGTCTAGTTAGAAGCAGAGCCTATTAGCAGTGCTGTCCATAACTGAATTCTCAGTTAACAGCATAAAAGGTATAAGCATGCAAATAAATGGCTTAGAGAGTAGAATAAAAAAATTAGTACAATGTTCATGTTCCCCAGTAGTTGCTTAAAAGGAGACACTTTCACTTGCTTGTCCCGCATGTGTGTGCTGAGTAGAACTAGGAGGCTTCAGAAGGCATCACATGTACGATTTCTAGCACAACTAGAACACCATACCCCACCCCCCACACTTACAGTCAACTTTTAGTTTACAAGATGATTGTCCTCCCGTTGTCATCACTGAATAAGTTGCATTGTCGGCTTTGGTTCCTTCCTCGATGATTAGAGTGTGTTTTTTACCCTCAACCTTCACTTTGTATCGAGATTTACTATCAAGAGGCAGCTCTACACCATTTTTAAACCTGTTCAGGGACAACAACCAAAACAAAAAGGTGACTGTCTGCTGATAAGAACTCACAATCTTTCCTGCTTGGAAATACGCCCCGGAAAAACTTTCAGGTAGATTTGAAAGACATTCTTCTGAGACAAAGGACAAGGCACACCCCTACCTGTGCCGTTCCACTTGCCAGAAGCCCATCGGACTGGCAGTGGCATCTTACTTCAATAATGGAAACAGAACAGCACACCTGAGAGCAGGAGGCTCACTCAGGGGACACAGAGCAGACCATGTGCAACATAGAACTCTGTCCTCCAGCACCTTGCTTCTGCTGCTACTGTTCCCTGTCCCCACTCTACCCACCAACTCAGCGCCTGCTGCCTGAGGCACCCACCTGCCTCTACCTAATGGTAGGGCTGTTAAGACAAAAGCAAATATTTCCATAAAGAGGTTCCCCATTTAAAATATAAGTTGCCGCTTTCACAATATTCATATTCTCTCTCTCTCTCTCTCTCTCTCTCACACACACACACACACAGAGAGATTTTATTTTTACATTTATGAGATGTTCAGTTTTTATTTTTTTATTGCAATTAGCTTTTCATTGACCACAAATAATGTTTATCTCTGTGGCAGAATCCCTCCCCCCAATGAATAGCTTTTCATGTGATAATCATCATGTGAAAGGGTTGCCTCATTACACTGGTGCTAGTTTATTATCAAAGACATCTCTGTCCTACAAGCTCTGGATTAACAGTAAATTGAACATAGTTGCAACTTTGTTCCTCAATGATCAAGGTGAGTTTTTTTATCTTCAATCTTCATTTTTTTAAATAGAGATTTATCATCAAGGGGCAGCTCCACACCATTTTAAAATCTGATCAAGCTGAACAAGCCATTAGTGGCAATCAAAAAGTTGATGGATATGGCCGCGGTCACTCAGCAAAGATATGGAGCAATCATGAACACCTACACTTTCGTCCTCTTACCATGTTGTTGATGCAAATGGCATAACTGGCATTTGGAAAGCTTTTCTGTTATATTTTGCCCAACTGAATTCAGCAGTATGATTTGTCCAAATCCATTTATCTTAGGGTTTAGGTGTACCTGGACACAATCTTCATTGAAATTGAAGCTGATCTGAACAAGGAAAACCTTATTTTTTCAGTGCCAGGGGATGCTCCTTGCATAAACCTTTGCTTGTACAAAACTCCATGTGCACATGTTGACATTTGCACATGATCCAAAGCTGCTAAACTGCCATGTCTGCCCTTTGGAACACCTAAAATTAGTAAATTCCATGGCAGCTGACATCTCCCCTCATTGGCTGCTGTTCCTCTGTGAAAAATTCACAACCTTATGAAATATTCATATGTGGCTCTAGTGAATTACCTCTAACTACTGCAGGGGTAGCTAATGAGCCCACTGGATGTTGTTGGATCAGCTCTCATTGGCCCCCATCATCATGGCCAATAGTTGGGGATGTTGGGGGTTGAAGGCCCAACATCTGGAGGGCGCCACACTGGCTACCCCTGAATTGCTTCTTAAAGCAGCCAACCTTCCCCAACATGGTGCCCTCCACATACTCTGGACTACAACTCCCATGAGCCCCAGGGGCACCACATTGGGGAAGTCTGATTTAAAGGTATGTTTGCAGCTACCTAGGCAAAAATGCAACAGGATAAATTGTACAATACACCCTTATACTGACAGGCACTCCATTTCAGGCTAACAAAAGTCCAATCTAGCTAAAATCCATTATGACCATGCCCAGTTAAAAGCAATGGAACTTAAATTGGGTATGACTAACTTGTTACATTAACCACAACTAATCTCAGCAGGATTGCCCTCCCCCCCCCGCCACAAAAAATATTAATTAAAGAAGGATGTAAGTGGCTTACCATTTCACATTTGCATCATCTTCAGACACTTCAACTGATAATTCTATTTTGTCACCAATATAAGCTTTGGTATCTTCTAAGCCTTTGGTCACAATCACTGGGGGCTCTGAGGGGAGAGGAACAAAGAACACTCTGTTTTAAAATCATAACATCAGATGGTTTTGTACATTGCAACCTCCTTTGAATCAGCAAGTTCAAGTTTCCACATCTTACACCAGCTGGAGCTGGAGCATTCTAGGAGCCCTAAGTCTTATGATCCATTGCATGAGCAAAGAAGAACATAAGAGCGGTGTAAAACTGATGGACTTAGATTGGAAAACATAACCCCCCCACATAGCATTGTGCAGTCACTATCAGCTGACCTATTATATTGCACCAGTACATCAAAACAGTGAAGGGAAAAAGTTCCCTTCTCTTCCCCCCGTCCCCATTTTCTTTCTTTCTTTCAGACTACAAGCGCTTATTTGTCTGTAGCATTTATTTATTTTTCAGCTCCCTGATTCTACAACCTCTTGTAATAATAATTGAAAAAGTGATCCTCTATGAGACATAGAGAGAAGAGGGAAGAACTCTTACAGAAATAATTTTGCCTAACAGAATTTTAGCAAGTAAGAATTCATTTAAATAAGACAAACTGGATATGTCTATCCTGTTTTAACTTCATCACCCTTTAGCTTTTTTGGGATTGTTATGTGTGTAAACTATTCAGATGTTAACCCCGAACCAATAATTTTTTTAAAGCCATATGGTCTCTTTATCTGCAGTTTTATACACCTGACCTTTCAGAGACAAACCCCACACTGCCTACTAGAGACCGAAGTGAGCTTAAGCTGTTTGGTGATGGCAACCTGGGGAAAACAAAGACTTCCACCTGGTGGCAGTGGAAAGGTCATGAGAATGGAAGAGCAAATGAGATGGGGAAACTCCGTTTGGCCTTGGTCTTCCTTCCTCACATGCTCCAGGGTGTAGCTGGGCACCCATGACTGTAGCTAAGCCATAGCAAGTGCAGGCGGCTCATTTCATCTATTTGAATTGTCATCCCCATGCAGAACAAATAAACCACAAAACTGTGCTATTTCATATTAGCAGAGAAACTGGCAGAAACTTTGTAATCTTGCTTACCTCTTACAAAGAGTTCTGTAGAGCATTTCTCATCACCAGCAGTCACATGATAGCGGGCATCATCTGTGAGCATGCAGTTGTTGACAAATAAGATTCTCTCATTACCTTTGTGCTCAAATATGTATCTGTTGGAAAATGGCAAAATAGCAAACGTGGAATTATGGCCAGGTTTCTAGGAATTGTACAGGGTTCTGTTGATCTAATAGAAGGGTAGTGTGGAGGAAGAACCTATGCAACAGAATGTCTTAAAAAGGTGCCATGTATGCCATGTATACTTTCTGCCATGGAATTTTTAAAATTGATTTTTTATAATGAAATTTGCATGCCGCTTTTATTGTTCTATGATCATTATTGCATTTTTAATGGTTTTTTATCTGTAAGCCATCCAGAAAAAAAATGTTATTGGGAGGCATAGAGGTGGTTTTTTTTTTTTGGTTTTTTTTTTAAGCAAATAGCCTTAGCTTATGGTAGGGTTGTAACCATTGCTGCTACTGGTGGTGTGGATTTTAACCATTTCCTTTCCTGCTACAGATTTGAGGAAAGCCCCCCCCCAAGTGTCAAAAGCAAAAAGTTTCAGAAGAGAGATTTCCCCGAGACCTATTTCAATTATTAATAGTTATCAGTTGTCGTCCCTCCACCCCACGGCTTATTCCTTTTGCATTTTAACACCTGTATGTTAATGTATGTGGCCCTAAAACTATCAGAATAAGTTATTTCTAGGAAGCTGGGGAAGGATTATTGCAAACACAAAGTTAAAGAGGCCCAAACAGAACAGTCTCTGAAACCCTAGATCAGTGAAGATGGAAATAACCTGTAACAGGAGCCCAGGTTTCATTCCAGCACTCTTATCATTTTTTCAGAAAGTACAATAATAGCTGGGGCAAAGGAGCCAACATTACTGGTAGGCCAGATGGCTCAAGGGATAGGTAATGGGATATGGAGCCTTTCACCTTGAGGTCACGGGTTCACATTGGTTTCAGGTCAGTAATGACCAAAGCTCATTAGCATCTAACAGCTGCTTGGTGGCCCGAAAAATGCAAAGTAGTATCTTCAGACGATCTGGCTTCTTGAGAGAACGTACAGACCTTAGGGAAGCAGGCAACGATTATGAACACAGACTCTACTCCAGTGACCCAAACTCCTCCTCACGACTTTTCTTCCTTTCTGTCCTAGGGGGCTCATTGTTCAGAGTGGCTGGCAATGGCAGAGGAGGAGAGAGTTCCTGGACACATCCAGTCCTCAGAAGCATCTCATCCTCCTGCCACACCACCCTCCCACAGGCTCTGCTTGTCAATATATAACAGACATGGATATACAAGTTTGCAATTTATACACTTGACAGTATATGTCAACAACATACTGCAGAATACACCTGCAATAAAACACCCAATTCTCTTAATTAAGGATATAAGAACTGAATATGAAACATTGTTTAAAGCTGGGTTTATGGGAATACTTACTTTCCACTTGGACGTATTTCTTGCCCATTTCTATACCACTTGAGTTCCACCGTTGGGTCAGCCAGCTCCACTGAAAATCTTACTCTACCTCCTTTATCCACTTGATATGCAGGATCCAGAATCTTAGCAAAAGCTGTTGGGTGATAAAAATGTTGAAGTGGAGACACACAGACAGAAAATATGTGGAATCCCATACTCTGTCATGAAACTTTACAATGTCTAAAGGCGCCTTCATACTGTTGTTCAATGTGGATTGTAAGATTCCCATACCTCCATTGTCCAGATGACATTCTCCTTCATATCACAGACTTCCCACACTTTCATCTCCCTCAATCCAGATTTCCTCACACTCCATTTTGGAGCATCCCTGGCATGAGACAATCCAGACTGACGTCAGAGAAAGTGTGGGAAGGCAGTGATTTGGAAGAGATTGCCATATGGACATTAGTGAATTAATGGAGATAGCCATTAGGATGAGCCCTGAAAAATATGGAATAACCAGCCATTCTGCTTAAGGTGTTTCAAATGGTATATTGCTGTTTTTAAAATGTGTTATCTGCTCTCAAATCCTGGAGTTAAAATAAACACAAATTCTGAGTTGTCTGACCCCCCAAAAATATACTGTAGCTTTGCAGGTCATGAAGCCTAGTTACCATAACAGGCAACAGGGAGATAATTTAACAAGCCTGATTTCTCCAGTGAGAATTAAGCCATACTTGGCAAAACTCTTCATATGCCACAACTGTTAAAAATATAACAAATTCCTTTGAAACTCCTGGTTCCTTGCTGTCATGGAGCTCCCTTTGTGCCCACGATAGGGTGAGGAGCAGGGAGAAGTAGGACTGAAAGCATCATTTGGCCAGTTGGGGTCAGCTTGTACCATGGCGGCACTAGCCAATCTACACTCGCGGCCAATCAGAAAGCAGCACGTGGGAATGGGGAGGTGTGCCATCAGATCAGAGTGAACCAGAGGTTCTCCTTCCTGGTCTGCTCATTAAATGGTTGGGTCCTCCATGGACCCAGCCAATGCAAAGCCTGTGTGTGAATTCTTCACATGGCTCAATTGTTAAAAAGGGAATGGCTCTCTTTAGGAAAGAATTAGAGACCTTGTTATGAGGACTGCAAGACTAATTCCTGTCTGCGAGAACCTTTTAGGAGGAAAAGTGTCACTTGTATTCCTAGGCAGATGTGAAACAGCTTTTCCTTGCTTCCCCTACCTGCACTTTTCTTTTCTTCCCTGCGGGTGCGCTTCAGACGTTTCAGCATGCCCCTCAGGTCAGTGATTCCATACTGAAAGGCAATTTTCTCATAGTCATTGGGGCTTGCACTCTTCAGGATCTCCCATACATCTACATCAGGCTCCTCAGGCTCCTGTTGCTTAACCTCCCTGATCAGTATAAGAGATGGTGGAGGAAAGGAGAGAAAAAAGAAAAGATGTGCCAGAAGTTGGCGTCATGAAGAGGACACATGTGAATTCAACTCCCAGTGGGATACGTTGTTGTTGTTGTTGTTGTTGTTTTTAGATAAGACTAGTCATTTAAGTCAAAGGCTTAAGGGCGTGCCTGAGCTAACAAGGTTGGTTGTGCAATCAAACGTCCTTATCCAAGAAGGGGAGAGAAGTAGTGGGATGCATACTTACCCCTGTCTTCAGAGGGTAACATTTTACAGATCTTGAGTTAGACTTTTGAATTCAAACCTGTGAGATTTCACCTGAAAGAAACTGGACTTCTGCACCAATCTATTGTTTTTCCATGTGTGGGCTTCAACTGATGGAAAGAAAACTGTGAGATGTATTTTGAAAAATATAATTTTTTAAAGGCCCGGGATTAACAGGAAGTAGCCTATTGGGTCAGGCCATAAACACAGGAGGCATGTTGAGAATTTTACTATTATAGTTTGTCTGATATTAAGAAATATTGGCATGTCAGGGTAGCAGCTTACTGTGAACAGGCTGATTGCTCCAGCTTTTCTCCTCCCCACTAGCGAGTGGAAACAGGAAATAGGGTCCCCGAGTTAGTGTTAAATCCAAACCAGGGAGAGTGGTAATCCAAGAACAAACATTACCTTCAGTTCATGATCCCCAGTTCATATGTAACATTAATCTATGGGCTGTGACTTGTTGCTCCCACTTGTGGAGAGGAGCAAATTGAGAGTGATCTGCATGTTCACTGGAACTATTAACCATGGTTTGCCATGATGTGTGAACCTTGTCTCAAAAAGTAAATTTGTAAAAATTATCTGGTAGCTTAGGGCAACAAGTTGCAGAGGCACCAGTGTTTTTTTCCTTAAACAGTAACTGGTCTTTCCCCCCCATAAAAAATAATTTTTGCAATAGCAATCGGGAAATCTACAAGGAGAGTAGACATAGACATGTGAAAATGAATGATAACCTTATGGTGAGACTACCACATGGAATATATTGAGCCTGTGTCTTAATTAGAATGATTTTAATTCTGTAGCAGTAAACATTAACGATAATAAAATTATGATGATGATGATGATGTAGGCAGTGTCTTTTTCATTTAAAGACATGGAACCACTAAATTATTGGGGTGAGGTGGAGTACTTTGCCTTATAGTAACATTTTATAAAGATCCTTGGCCATTTTTTGTAGATCCTAGCAAAATGTTCATATAATGTACTGATATGAATCAGCTGTTGCGAATGGATTTTATGGCATTAACAATATTATTTTAAGTGTCTGTAAGAGATGTACTGAAATGTACTGCAATATGTCTGTTAACATATTACGGGTGTAGCTTTATGATATGGCCTCTTATTTCACTTTTTTCATGCTTACAGTTTACAAAGGTCGGCTACTTACTGCAAAATACTGCTGTGTCAATGAGATTCTACCTTTCCAAAGGTCATGTAAAAATGCAAACATATCCAAAAGCTGACATGCATTAAGGGGATGAATTCTCATTTTAATAGGCTGGCCATCCTAGCTGTGGCAACTCCTCTCAGTTGCACATGCATCAACAGGAACCAAGATGAGAATGTTCCCCTTTAACATTCATTAGGCAGTTGTTGAGAATGAGGATTGGTGCGTCCTGATTTTCAACCCATTATAAGAAATACTCATCCACCCTCTTCATTTACCTTGTTCAACTGAAGAACAAATCCTTGAGCAAACAAACTTTGTCCTGAGGATGAAATGGCTGAGTGGATAATGGGCATGAGACATGTTGTTGTTGTTAGTCACTTTTCTCAAAGAGTGACCCTAAGTGACTTACATTCAAACCAATTAAGAACATCCAATAAAAATATAAAAACACAGCTTAACAGATACAAGGCACGACTTACAGAACCTGCAGAAACAGGCCGCAATGCCACCTTTCATCAATATGGATCTTTTTTTGCCTCTTTTCTCCTATCTATCCCATTGTTTGTCCCATCTTAGTGAATGTATTGTTACATATATACTTTTTTAAAGGTCAGTTAAATACTTCAGTTTTCTTCTTTCTTGGAATTTCACTTTGTTTATGCAGAAATGAAAGTTCATTTACATCCAAGCAGTTAAATCAAGCCACTTTCTGAAACTTATTGTTTGAGGGAATGACAGGCCCAAGTCCAGCTGTCACTGCGATTCAATGGATTAGCGTACCATTGACAGTTTAGATGCATTGCACCTGGTCATTAGATGTAAGACAAACTCTCAGCCTTCAGGAATGCAGTCATGTGTTCTAACTATTTGGCTGCTAGATGCTAACATAAGCTGCAATGTAAATCTGACATCCTTCCATGTAAATTGATTTGAGCTGAAGTCAATGTCATTCAAGAGACTTAAGCAGTTTATATATTCCAGTGTATTTCAACCTAAAATCTGCAGAGTCAGCATGTATAATATGAGCATTCAGATTTTTCCTAAAGGGTTTACTGATGAAAAATTAAGTGCCTTCAGTACAGCCAGTGAAATAAAGTTTAGCATGGTAAGAAGCAAATAAATGAGGAGAAGTTTAAGTAGCACTATGTGAATTGTTCCATCAGTCTAAGCTTTTTACCTTGCCAAACAGAATGATCCTCATTCCCCTTCCTTCCACAAGCTCTTCTGGGAGTTCTCCTGAAAGCCAATTTTTTGGGTGGTGGTGCATGGGAGATGAGAAAGGGGAAAGCCATGTTGCACTAGTGGCTTTCACTAGTGGGACTCATCCTTCCCACAGTTACGTTTTCTTAAAGCAGTTAGGTGTAACTTAACTATGCTGTATGTACAGCTAGATAAGAAAACCTATTCTAATAAACATGATTCTAAGCAATGAAATGAAACAATATTTCTTAGCAATGAAATAATCAGTTTGTACTGAAAGTCTGATTTGCCCATTATCCACTCAAGAGTTACACTTCTATATATCTATATGCATACACACACATATATATCCATATATAACACAACAAAATTAATGTAGCAATAATACTGATAATTCCCAAATTCACTAAAACTTTTCCACACACAAGCTGTATATTAGTAGGAAACATCAATGGAAAATCAAACCAAGCCAATGCATTTCCATATGTAGATATAGATATATCTACTAGTATTAATATAAATATTACAATGAGTGCATGTCAAACTGAGGATCCTAGTTAGGGAAGAGAAAATAGAGATCTGGCAAGCATGAAATAGATTTTTAAAAAGTTTTGTTGTTGTTGTTCAAATAACATCTAAGCATTTACTTGGATCAACTTTTGAAACATGGTCAGTTCATGTTTTGAAAACCCATCTTCCTGAAGCCAAAGTAAAATTGCATCTAAACACAGTGTGCAACTACATATCTTGTTTTTTTCTTAAACTTAAATACAGGCATGGCTGAGCCTGATCTTCACTGCAAAGGCAGCTACTGGAAAGGAGAGCCTTGACCCTAGTCACTGATGCGTGCATGATAGACCTGGGAACTCACTCTATGATTCCTTGAGTTCCATGGAAGAAACATGAGAAATAAATGTAAGAAATAACCTTCCAGAATCCTTTGCAGTTAAATAATTGGTTAAATCATTTCAAAATTAATTTTGATTCCACCCTATATAAATGATATATTAATGGACTATTTGGTGAATTTTAGCCATCTAAAAAAAGCTGCCTGCTTTTTCCCTGCTCTTGCTCAATGAACAAAGTTATTCTGGTCCAATCTTGTGACGATTTGATTCCCCCCCCACTCAATAAGCTTGATAGTTATTTCATTAAGCATACCCTTTCCCCTAGAGAAACTGCCAGAGCCACGTGAGATTTCTCCCAGGCCACCTTGGCTATAGCAGGACCCTAGATTGCCTAGTGAATTCACACTAGGGCTCTTTGAAAATAGAAGAATATGATAATTTTAGTAATTCTGATAAAGTGACAATAGGGTGACCTCCTAAGCCCTGGTGACCCAGCAAGAAGCATGACGTCCCTGTCACCTATGTATAAGCTTAGTATGGCATAGTGGTTGGGAGTGTTGGACAAAGACTGTGGAGATCCAGGTTCAAATCCCTCCTCAGCCACGAAGTTTATTGGGTGACCTTGGAACAGTCACTCTCATCCTAACCTATCCAACAGGGCTGTTGTGAGGATGTAGTGGGGAGTGGGGAGGGTCATGTGTGCCGTTCTCAGTTCCTTAAGGGAAAGGTGGATGAAAATATAAATATAGAAACTTTTACCAAGAAGCTATCTCAAAAAGGTGGTAGGGCAAATTTCATGCATCTGCAAAACTTGGTCCTATGTGGAGTGCCTGGATCGTGCGTGTTGTGCTGTTTTGGGGAGGGTTATGTGTGCCTGCTTCTTGCAACACAAATATAGCTCCGCTTGATAGGTCTGAACAGGGCCTCAGTCTAGTAACCTAAAATGGGCAGAATTGTCCTTGAAGCCTCATGACTAGAACAGGGTACTGAAAACTGAAACCACATATAAAGGACAAGCAAATGTCTGAACACTTGCTCATATTGTTATTCATATCTGGGGATTTAAGGCGCAGCTAACAGCTTCTTGGATTATTTTGAATTTCAAAAAATGCTTCCATGTGCCCTCTGAAATGTTTCCAGTTTTATAATACACTATCAGATTCCACCCAGCAAGTTGCTTCCTAGCCCTACTAGACTTCCCATTTTAAGAGCCCACAGCATATGTGTTTTCAGACACATAATGAATGCATGCATTATCGGAGCTCAGTAAATCATTTCACATCATTCCTTAGCAGAAGGAGGGTGAATTCAAGAGCCAAAAAAGCTGCAGTACATCTGTGGTCTGCATGCTTTGAAAACAAGTGTTCCAGAGTTCAGTTTTGTTATGGTTTTCTTTTCTTTCTCTCTCTCTTTCTTTCTTTCTGTGGGGGATGGGTGTAGCACAAAGATCAATTGTTTGAATTTCTCATCCCTAGATAGGACATGGGTGGGGAAAACATGCAGGCACAAAACAAACACCAATATACAGTACTGACACCTGCCAGTATGACCTCATCCCATGTTATAATTTAGTGACACAGGAATGCTTCTCTGAGACACTCCTATGTCATTAAGTCACAATACGGGGCAGCAGCCTTAGAAAGTGTACAATATCCTAAGACTTTTGTGGTTTCTTGTCAACGTGCTAACAGAGTTGGCTTAACTCTCAGCAAAAAATTTACCTTAAGAATTAAAAGTTTATAAACATCAATCAAAAGGAAAGGATGGTGGGGGGCGGGATTACACCTGACGCTTTCTGTTGTGCAAGCCTAACCCATTTCCAATCCACACCTTCTCACTTCATTGCTTGGTTCTCACCTACGTTTCAGGAGACCACTAAAGTCAAGTTCTCCTGCATCCTCTTGTCCTTCACCGCTGTTATTAATAAAAAAAATCAAAATCAAACCTTTGTTTAATACCCAGAGAGTTGGACAACACACATTGCATACACTCTAGATGCCCTACGAACGCAATCAATATAGAGACACGCAAGTAAGAAGATTACATCAACACAAACTTGTATTCTTTTTCACAGGATTTACAACTCCCATTAACAAGCACTTGTGAAAAATGAACACAAAGGTTTGCATTGCACTTGTGACACTTGTTCAGGCAAATTCTTGTAAATCTGCAAATTTGCCTAAATTTGTGTTCCTGTAACACAAATGTGTTTCAAACAGAGTCGGCACAAAGAGCTTTGTTTTTTTACTTCTACCAAGTGCCTACTGAAACAAAACAAAGGGCTTGTGCTGAACTCAGTTGCATATGTAAAACAAAGATGTGCATTGTTGTTTATGCTGCATAGAACAATGCACAACCATGTAAAAATATCCAGTAGTAAAGTTTCATTTAAACTTGTCAGCAAGGGGGAAATTTGGAGAACCTATCCATTGAGTGCACACAGTGTGTTGTATGATGTTAAAGATGAGATGGGGTGGGTTTAAAAATGTGGATTTCTTTCTAGAATGTTGAGCAATAACAATATAATTGCAATACTTATAGACAGGAGTTAATATACTTTGCAGAGACTTAAGAGTTCCCTGGGCATTGGCATCCTGATAATCTAATCTTTGGGGAGAGGAGAGCAGGTTAAGTAGAAGATTCCTAGCCTCATTTTTGTCTGGTAGCATAATAAGCGGGAAAATGTAGGTAGTAGCCTGGCTTGAACATGGTTCTACATCATGGTTCTTTGTTCAGCCAAGGTGTAGTTTGTTCGAACCCAGCTCAGCACCCTAGTTGAGATGACAACAAACCACAATGTGAAGACATGGTTTGTTGTTGGCTTACAAACAATTGCTTGTTTTAACCTTAGTTTGACATTGTGTCTGAATATGACAGCCTGCTTAACCATAGTTTGTTTGACCACTCCATCCCAGATGCTCTTCAAAACTACAAAGGCACAAATCTAGAGCAGCCGGAAAACAAACCAAGCTTTGGTGAAACAAGCTATGACTGGCTTGCCCATCGGTGAGAGGATGCATCACTCATTGAACAAACCATGGCTTAGTATTATGTAGGAACAGGGCCACTGACTAATGAAGAAAGAAAACAAGAGCTGGGAGGGTTTTCAGTCAGGGAATGGGGCAACAGTGGCCTGCACAATACTCTTTTCCTGTCCCATAGCTATACTTGTCTTTCCCCTGAACACTATTGCCTGTCTAACCCCCATCTCTATTCTGTTCCTTCCCTCCATTCCCATTCCTTTGCTAAAACAAAACAAGCACCAAATTCTCTAAAATTAATCTTGGAAGGAGAGCAAATGAGTTAAGTTACTTGATTTGTCTCATTTATTCTGAAATCAGGATTTGGGATATCCTGGAACAGAACCCAATTTGAGAGGGGGAGGATGGATGTTAGCTGAACAGGGTGGATAGTGGTCGATACTGACCCCCAAGAAGTTCAGGTGCTCAACTGGCTTTCTGCAATTACCTAGGGTCTGATGCCGTAATATTGATTTATTAGTACAGTGGAAAGCATTAACATATAGGAGAAATAATATTTAACCAGAAACTTTTAAATAACTAGGGCATCAATACATTTAGAGTGACATATGCTTAGATCTTGTCTGTAATTTGCCAGGCTCTTGGTCTTCTTATCTTTCAGCAAATGGAAAAGACTTTAAAATATAAATAAAATAATATAATAAGGAATGACCTACTATTTTATGATGTCTCTACTGATGTTTTATGATTGCTTTGCACCTGACTTCTATCTGGCTGAGTCACTGCAGCATACTGGGGTGGGGAGGGCCACAGTGAGTTTGCCCCAAGGCAAACGCACCAGAGGAACGGCTGGCTGTGTTTGGACATAAACACCAAACCACAGAGCAGTACTACAGGAACAAGCCTAGCTGATCTAGGCTTGTGCACTCCCCCTCTCCTCTCGTGCTGCAAAATAAGAAGCTTTCACTTTCGTATTCAAATTACAGCAAATCAGTTTGCTTTGTCCAAACTGTGGACAGGATTAATTGCTTATGGTTTAATATAAGGAGTCGGCATTATAAATCCTGGGTTGAAGTTGGTTTGTCTCCCTAAATTATAGTTAACACTAACCACAGTTTGTCTGGGTTTAGGTATAAATATTGCTAGTTGAAAATGGAAGTGAAACCTTCCCATTTCCTCCTGGCTAGGAGGTGGAACGTGGGAACAGGTATAGCAAGTCCTAGTTTAGTGTTACATGGGCGATCAGGCCACTGTCTCTGTTTTAATTACTGTTGATTCTTGTTCGTAGTGCAATTTCATATTGTGATTTTGTTTTACTTTATGGCTTTGATTTCTTTTTGAAATGGCAACCCACCTTGGTTATTATTTTTATTAGAAAAGTAGGACATAAACAATAAAGAAAACTAAAGATTTTCCACATTCTTCCCTTTCAACCATTCTGTCTCCCTCCTTCCCTCTGTTGTTTCTAATGTAAGGTACTTTAGAGGAGGGTCCTGTCCATTTAGCCTATGTCAATTCATAAGGCACAGTATAAATAATAAACAACAGCATTTCATTGATTATAAACATTCACTGGTCTTATCTGAGTTTTCAGATATTCATCCATTTTTTTCTGGCATTGTCAACATTCACAGAATTTCACCGCTCATGGTAACATACATATTATGACTACTACATGGTGAGTGTTTTACATTGTGGAAGCTGTTATCTCATGGTGAGACATCTGTGGGCTGCAAGTGATAAGATGCATGCTTTTTGTGTGCACATCTGTAGTGGAATGGTGAAAACTTCTGCTTTGTTATCATATATGAACAGTTTCCCTTGTGGAAACATGGAGCAAGTAAGAACAACCTCCACATAACAACAATAATGTGTAAACCAATTATAGGTTACAGAAAATGGAGTAGCCATTTTAACTTCTCGGCAGTGGGCAGGAGAGAGTATCTCAAAAGCACAGACATTCTCCTTTATGACATATACTCTGCTTTCAATTTAGTGTGCCATTTCTAAAGGCTTGTTATTTCGACTCATTCTGGCTGTGTTTTTCCAACCAGCTTGATTTCCAGAGGTATTTCAGGGCATGTGCTGCTTTCACCACCTATAATTGAATAACTTTCCAAGATAACTACTTGAAGTTACCTTCTTTTGAATGCAGACCGGATATCGATTGATGGTGCAGATGAAGTTTCTATATATATAAAAAAGAAAATGAGAAAAGTGGTTTCTGTAATTTATGAAGGATATTGAATGGATACAACTAAGGCAAGAACAAAACTATGTTCCATTTTATGGATTAATTTAAAGAACTTTTATACTGTACTGGAAGAGGAGCAATCCTAATATGTACCCACAGATATTATCACCACAGTGTTAAATGTTTGGTTTATAAAATACAATCTCAGCAAGTCTTTTAGATGTTCTGTTTTAATGTAGGGAGGTATGATTTTATGTATATATTTCATTTTCTACATATTTCTTAAAACTTCCAAATAAAGATCCTTTACTCTGGTATTTAATATAGCATTTCTAGTTCTGATCTCGTTAGCCTTCTTTAACGCATACATGTGTGGATTTTAGGGTGGTGATAATGTACTACAATTGGATTCTTTAAACCAGTACAACCCTGAGACCTTCTTTTGATGGTGCCTCTATCTACTACCTGAGCAACAGGTGTGAACCACAATGAAGCCATTGTAGTAAGTCTCACTGCGATCAACAAAGGTGAAGAAGGCTCCCATGCCACTTTTTATAGAAGTAAGTCGACAACTTGCCTTCTACTTGTTAAAACAATTAACCAGAACTTGATGCTTTAGAGCAAAGGAATACACAAGAAGAGGAAATCCCAAATGAACACTGGATGTACCGTAATTTGATTTCACCTGGAAGGAGCTTCTTTTTATTAAAGCTAAAAATAGCAGTGGAACAAGGAAGAAACAATAGCATGGCATGATCAGAAAAACCAAGTAAATAACTTCTAAGCGTTAAGCTCTGGGCATCACTTAAAATTTCCTTCATCCCCAATGAAAATACAACTTCTGATTCAACTCAGTAAGAGATCTGAATATGGTCAATAACATGGAGTTGAATTTCACCCAGTGTAAATTAGACATGTAATCAGATAAAACAATTCACTTCTATAGAAAGTTTATGCACGCAGACAGGCTGGCTCCTTGCCTACAAGCTACTGAATGCACACAGACTTTGAGGCTTGTCTGGTTAATTGGCAGTCAGCTGCTGGACATTCCATTAATTGTGTCCTGCCTCCCTGTCTGATTAATGAGCACTCTGACCTTGGTAATTTGGTAGGCTTGTTTTCCTAGGATGAACATCTATTGGGTTAGCTGCCAGATTGCTGCAAGGCTGGGATATTTGGAAAGCTTGCCTAGATGTGTCTGGCAGCTGAAGCCACAGGGCCAGGTGACCAGGCTTTAGGACCCAACAGTAATATTTTGAGGGACAGAGAAGGTCCTTTGCACTTGGATAGGCTTTGTTTTTGTCTTAGTACACAAATAAAGGAAATGTTAATGCCAATCCCATGGGATCAATGAGACTGCTCACATCTGCAAATGTAAAGGTGCTTGACATATATTAAGCCTTGCGCTTACAATTACAATGGCTGCTTATTTCCCAGACTTAGAAGCCTAGTCCTTCAAAAGCTTCTCAGAGGGTGAAAGTCATCACCACAGCTTTAAAATCCCACCAGATGGAGATATGGAATCCACTGTGATGCTGATGCTGCTGTTTCTCAGGTTCCGACAGCTGACCTATCTGGGGCCAAGTCATTCTGGAATAAATTCATTAACTATGAACCCTGAAATTTGGAATCCCCTGCAAACTGGTGCCAAGGTTTTGCAGTTATTCTGCAGTGCAAACTGCGTTTTACAGCAGCACCCCCAAACTGAGTAATTGATAAACAGCTCAGTGGGTAGAGCATGAGCCCCTTAATCTCAGGGTTGTTGGGCAAAATATTCTTGCGTTGCAGGAAGTTGGACTAGATTACCCTCATGGTCCCTTCCAACTCTACAGTTCTATGAAACCAGGGGGAGTGGCTATCACCCCATCATTGTCTGAGTCTCTCTAAACCTCTGCCAAAAAATTTCAATAATTTTAGACCTCCCTTTACTTTGGTGGTTCTATGGTACTAAATCCTGCAAAAAGGAGGGTCATTATACTTCACTATGCAAGCTCTTTCCATTTGTAAACAAATGTTCATCTACAGCAGATACTTCAACTGTGTGTATAGATCTTACATGCAGGAGGGCATAACTTAATATTGACCAATGCCCCACTCACATGGCCATGTCTGTGTAGGCACTGCTGCTTATGTGGTCAGGGGAGATTTTATGAGTCCTGTGCTCATATCCACATATCTATACATCGAATATACACATGGGGTTTAAATAGACCACAATCTATAGTTAATCTAACTTTGAGTGGCAGTGGCCGACAGTCATTGTGGATCTTTGAAAGAACAGATTGAGCCGTTAGTTGTAGGAACAGTCTAGAATAGATAATAAGTGAAGTCTATCCAGCTTTGCTCTCCGCTTGTTTCAAACCCATTAGAAAGAGCTGTCCATGTTCTTGGCCTGTTCACATGAATAAACTGTGCAACTGTGCACAGTTTCGTCAACTCCTCCTCTGTCAAAGTGAACAGGACAGAGTTGAAGAGTGTTTAGGACTTTTGTGGCTCTATATACTCATCCTGCAAAAAAAGGATCATTATACCTCATGATGAAAGCCCTTCCTGCCTGTAACCAAATACACACACCCCATATGCACACTGTGGTACCATAAGATCTGCCAGCGTTGCATTTCATTCTCTTCTCTGCAAAGATTTATAAAGTTGCTTTCCAACTGAGTGTGGGACAGTGATATTCCAGGAACTTAATATTCTCTCTTTCTCTCTCTCTCTGAGCCTCATGATGGGTTTGTAGCAGGCAAATTCCTTGCTAAGCCTGAGGTGAGGTGAAGGGGAGTCCTTTCTTTGACCTACGTCATGGACAAATTTGTAGAGTCTTGAGCTGTCATCACTGCCATATAAATTTTATTCCAAAGATAAACTGCAAGCTTCAGCAAGCTTCTCAAATAATTGCTTCGAGAACTTAATGTGATTTCACTGACTCAAAGCATCTTCTGAGTCATTTGTAGCCTGCTGGAGCTCTGTGAAAGTGCCAAGTTGCTTTAAAGCAGAGATTACATAAATTCACAGAGGATAAGTATTTCCGGGGGGGGGGGCGGGGCGGGGCGGTATTAGCCATAATGGCTATATGAAACCTCTATATTCATAGGTGGTACTGTATACAGCAGCAACCTCTGGGGTGGGGGTGGCTACTGCCTTGTGGACTTCCTAGAGGCATCTGGTAGGTCACTGTGGGAAACAGTGGATGGTATCCAATGATGCACCAATTGGGTCCTGCTGGTAGAATGAGACTTCCTCTATTCCACTCCCCCCAAATTTGCTCTGGGAGGTTCCCCAGTTTTGAGGGTGCATGGAGGAGACAGGAGAGAAACATGAAGTTCTGTTGCACTCATTGAAGTCCCTTGCTGCAGTGTGGGATAGAACCCAGTGGGCTTTGATCAAATTCAGCAGGGTTCATATTCTTATGGTGAGAATTCTCTATCAGTGGTCCTTTGAACCCCTTCCTTCTCAAAGCTACACATCCCAGGATTCCCTAGTGAACAGAAACAGCAGAATATATCTTCACCTCATTTTTTGTCCTAGCATGCCTCAACTTAATGTCCTCCAGATGCTCTCATTTCTAGGTAGACATAAACCCAGGCTCATCTCAATTACGCGAAGTCCAAGAGAAGCCCATAATGGATAGAGCCCAGAGCACATCAGCAGAACTCTCTTCTCACTGACACATTTCAGCCTCCACAAGTCTTTCTTCCAAGACAGTCCCAAGATTATATCACTAACTGCTCATGTTTGCATCAAAATAATTAGCACAACTCTAAATGAGCTGACGTTGAGATAAAAATAAGAAAAAGGAGCCTGAAACCTATAGACACCTTTCAGTGGGCCTCTGAAGCATGCTTAGATATAGGCATGAGGAGTTCAGATAAACATGACCTGAAATTCTGTTAGATATTTTGTGTTAAAGAAAGAAAACATAAAAGGGATCCTTACCATGGACTTCCAGATCAAAAGAGCAACTATCAACCTTATCCTTATACGTTACTTCACACCTATAATTTCCTGCATAGTTTTCCTTAGCTTTAATGATTTGCATCTCAAATGTGTACATCTGAAATCCAAACATACAGTGCAATTGTTAAATTAAATTCAGGGAAATTCTCAGCAGCTGAAAACACATTCATACACATGTATCTACAAATATTATATCCTACATTAATTTACTAGGATTAAAGATGAGCGGATGTTACTACTGTCTTTACTTTTGCACAACTTTTAGCCATAATTCTATTCTGCTCCCAAATTCTGCTCTGTGGTTTTTAAAGCTGTTGAGTCGTCTGTTGTAATTTTTGTCACAGCAATAAACCCACAACAAAAATTCTAATTAAAAAAAATCCTATTGGAATACAAATATCAAAAACCTATTTAAATGTGTATTTTCTTTCAATATATATATTCAAATGCAAATATTGATACGCTTAAGCTGTTGAGAACTGTGCTTCAGTATTTGCAGAAATGGAAAAACAGTGGTAACCTAAGTTTGAATCTACACATTAGTCCAAGAAGGATGGATTGTTGCTGCAAACCACAGGGGCAGAATGCTTCTGTGCTGGGGTCTTGCTTTTGGGTTTCCCACAGGCATCTGGTTGACCACTCAAAGAACAGGATGCTGGACTAGGCAGGCTATTGGTCAGATTCAGCAAGCTCGTCTTATATTCTGATGGTTTCGATAATTTCATACAAGAATCCACAGAGGTCAAATTCCTCAAGTATTTCTATTTAGGGAAGGACCCTTAGCCACGCTGAAAAGGAATCAGGGGCTTGAATTGGGGTGTTCCTGCTTCTTTGTATATTTACAAGGCAATTCTGCACATGACTATTCAGAATTAAGCCTTTTTTCAATAGGATTTGAGACTGCACTGTTAATGATGTCAGAGGCTGAATTTTTATTACCTTTAATTTTTATTCAATATCAAACAATCCTTGCAAGACATTGGCGGGGAGGAAGAATTGGAGCAGGGCCACAGGATTTTGGGGGAGCCAAGCCCGCTCCTTGAAAAATGGAAGTCTGAAGTCCCTCAGCCACCACCACGTGAAGTGCCTGCTAGACACCAAACTGTTCAACCACCAAATTTCATAGTAGGAGAAAATACAAGCCCTAGGTGGAATCCAGTTGTGGGCTAACACAATTGTTCCATCATCACAAACATTTCTGCTTGCCAGGTGGAATGATCTCTCCTCTACTGCTGTTCTAGGGGGTTCTCTTGACTCCCTACAGCAGGGAAAGGCATGGGGAGCACACAAGGGGAGAAGAGGGCACAAGTCCCATTGAACCAGTCAGAGTCCTTGAACTGGCATGTCTGGGTCAAACCCTGATAAATGGGTACATGAGATTCTGCTCAAATGCCAGATTTACTTCTGGTGCAAATGCACTGGTAGGAGCACCAGATTGGTTCTGCTGGTGTGTTTGCACTGTGCCAACCTCTCCACGACCTTGTCCATCTTGATAAGCACACACTGAGCTACTTCTGGAGATAACCTGTTTTAATGTTACCGCTCTCACGAAATGTCCAGTTCAGTCAGGGCTTCACCCCCTGAGCTTATGTCCTTACTACCAAGTCTGGATTTTAGAAACAGGTAAAATTGAGTCCTGCCATCCCTCCATACCTTGGTTTGGCGCTCAAATGTCTCCTTTAGCTGAAGGTGCTTCCCTACTTTGCTTGCCAGGTCCATCCATTTCCCTTTGAACCACTTAACAGTTGGCTTTCGGAGAAGATCCTGGGCTTCAACTTTTGCTATAAATGTAATATTTTGTCCTTGGGAAAACAAAAGAAAACATTAGTCACATTAGAAACATTACTACTCATATGATAGAGTAGTAATATGTTTGTGGAACTTTTTAAATCCTCATGAAGATTTATTAGAATTTTAGTGTAAACTTCTCCTAGTATAGTTACAGATAGGTAGCCGTGTTGGTCTGCCATAGTCAAAACAAAAAAAATTCCTTCCATTAGCACCTTAAAGCAGTGTTTCCCAACCTTCTTTGGGCAAAGGCACACTTGTTTCATGAAAAAAATCTCGAGGCACACCACCATGCCAGATGGGGAAAGGTCACTTTTTACTTATGTAAAAAAAAATTAAAAAAATAGTAACTTCCAACGAATTCTGTAGGTCTTGTTTCTGAATCATTAAAGCTGCATTTGGGAAGGATTCGTAAGGGCGCACAGCAACTCAGTCCCACCAACTCCACAGCAGGGTTCTCAGGTTCAGTGAAGGGCTCCCTCAGGGGGGCACATATATACACCTGGGCTCCCGAAAAGCTACCGCAAGAGCCCTTCAGGAGTTCACATAGCGCAGGCCTGAAGGCTGCAGCTTCCCACTTAGCATCCCGCCAGAGGAGGAAACCTCAAGTGGTCGACCTGTTTTTTTCCCCTCCCGCCTCTCTTTTGGAGCGCAGAGTTTTGAAGGCCGGCATCAACTCCGTTTTCCCGGATACTTCCCGCTCGAACCGAGGGCTGGGTGAAGCAAGGGCGGCGCTGCGCGTTTTACCTCCACGGCGCAGGGGCTCTGGCTCGCCTTCAGCCACCGCACGACAGCGCTGGCTGCCACTTCGTCCTGCAGCAACAGCTCCAAAACAGCCGCCATGCCCACCTCTCTCCTCCTCTAGCACTACCGCGCGGGCGAGCCTCCGGGGCGGGCGCACAAGGAGCGTGGGCGCCACCCCTCGACGCCGTCCCAAAAGCCGCCAAAAAGCCCTAAAAAAAGAGCAGCAAAAAAACCACACCACACACGGGGGACGTGTTCTAATTCGCTTCTAACTCCAGGTTAGAGCGCAGCACGTGGAGGATGGGTGGGGAAAGAGAGAGGAGGCGCACTGATAGAACGCCAGGCACGGGGGCCGCCAGGGAGAGCCAGCGCGCGCCCCACCCCGGACGCTCGCGGCCACCGCCGTCCCTCCCTCCCAGGGAAGGGGGGATTAGAGCAAGCGCCCGGGCAGCAAGAAGCGCGCGCGCGCGCCGGCCCTGCCCTGGATCCCTCAGAACCGCCAGTCTCTGGGAAAGTGGGCGTGGCTTCAGAACTCTCAGGCAGCAGCGCCCGCCGCCCGGCAAGGCTTCCCATTGGGAGGCGCGAATGCTTTAGTGGACGGGGATTGGCGCAAATATAGGCAGGGCGGGCTGAGAGGAGGAGCCGCCGCCGAGGAGCAGCGGCACCAGCAGCGTTTCCTCTCCCCCCTCCCCTCCCGTGTCAACAAGCGGGGCGCCTGCGCCGGGGGTTTGCGCGTCAGGCAGGCAGCCAGGCAGGCAGACGGCGAGAGCCCCGCGCTGGGCGGCCTCTCCTCGCCGCCGCCGCCCCGCCTCTCGCTGCCGACTCGCCCGCCTCCCTCCCACGGCACACCAGGCAACGTCTGGCGGCACACTAGTGTGCCGCGGAACACCGGTTGGGAAACACTGCCTTAAAGCACCTGTGTATCTGAAGAAGTGTGCATGCACACGAAAGCTCACACCAAGAACTAACTTAGTTGGTCTTTAAGGTGCTACTGGAAGGAATTTTTTTTGTTTCTCCTAGTATAGACATTTTGCCTAGTACACACATTTTTTTGTAAAAATACGTGTGGTTTTGTACATGTCACATGGGTGAAAAACTGCATTATAAAATTTGGAGAAAGATTAATTTTGGAGGATGGTAATTTGTGTACTGTTTAGGAAGTGTGATTGGGTAGGTTTGCCTTTAAATGCAAACAAAATTTAACTTCTCCCCCATATGCAAACTGTTATGTACTGAAGTTCTCACCCTGGGCCAGCAGGGGGATACTGTAGATAGTTATGCAAATGAAGGATCGAAAGTGACGTTCAGTGATTGGATAGTTTTAGAAAGTTGTTACAGTAACAAGGTACTGGAGCTCTATATAAGCAGGCTGACTGAGCCCTTCAGCTCAGTTCAGTTCTGGCCTCAGAATAAAGAAGAGCTGTTTGAAGAATCGCTGTGTCGTCTGATATGTTCGCCCACAACTTAACACAAACTATATACAGTTTCAAAAAATATACATACATCAGGTGCCATCAAAGAACCCCTTAGTTGTAAGAGCATCTGTTATATTTGAGCTATCAGTGACCAAAATCCCATACATTCCAAAACTACATAAACCCATAATTAGTTGAGCAAGCATTTTTTCTCTTGGTCTCAGCAGGGTCTCTAGAAACAGGCATGTAACCCATATGTTGCAACTAGATAATCATAATAATAATTTTATTTATACCCCGCCCATCTGGCTGGGTTTCCCCAGCCACTCTGAGCGGCTTCCAACCGAATATTTAAAACAATACAGCGTCAGACATTAAAAGTTTCCCTAAACAGGGCTGCCTTCAGTTGTCTTTTAAAAGATGCTGTGTGTATGGTTTTCCTGCTGAACCCACAGAAGGCTGCGCACATATGTGAGGCTGTGCACATAGATTCCCCTATTTAAAAACTAACATTCCAGCAATTGGCTGTCCAGAAAAAGGAGGAGAGCCTGAATCCAGTCCCCCCCCCCGATTGTTCCTGTTTTCCTCTAAATAGCTAGATCAGGGGTAGGCAACCTAAGGGCCAGGGGCTGGAGGTGGCCCAATCGCCTTCTCAATCCGGCCTGCAGATGGTCCGGGTATCAGCGTGTTTTTACATGAGTAGAATGTGTCCTTTTATTTTTGGGGGGCATAGGAATTCATTCATTTCTCCACCCAAAATATAGTCCAGCCCACTGTCTGAGGGACGGTGGACCAGCCCACAGCTGAAAAAGGTTGCTGACCTCTGAGCTAGATGATTGAATTTTAACTTCTAGAAAGGGCTCTGCTGCTTCATATGTGCTCCTGGATTAATCAGCCATTAAAATTTATTTCCATATGAAATTTGAAAGTGTAATCTCAATATGTTAAAGTCTTTTGAGCTTCATAAAGCATAAGTGTATAGCTGAATCCTGTGCATGTTTACTCAGAAGTAAGCACCACTTTGTTTAGTGAGGCTTATTCCAGGCAAATATGCATAAGATTTCAGTCTTAAATATTTTTGGGAAGAGGGGCAATGGAGGACTAATTGATCATTTGAGAATACCAGAAACTACAGCATTTGCTGAAGCTAAGTAGATATAGCCCTATTCAGAATCTCATGTATGTGTAATAGACAAATTAATATATACATATATATTTTAAAAAATTGTTACAGCACTTACCGACACTAATTGTTCCACCCTTTGGTTTTTCAACAAATAAAAGGGATTTCTGTGAATTGTCTTGCTTATCTCCTTCTTCCTGAGGGCCATCTCCCATAGACCATACTAATATGGAGAAAGAGGTGAGAAATTAACTTATTGCAATAAACCTTGCAATCTGATTTCTTTATTTTAGCTCTAACATGCCCTTCCTTTAAACTACAACTACTTCAAAGGGTACTTACGTTCTCCGTCACATTTTTTCAGCCTGACATGATGTTATTGGAAGCAAAAGGATAGAAAATTCTTATTGAACACAACTTTCTGAATGGAAATGCCCTGTCTGTGGTGATGGAAAATTATAATATTGTGCTGGTCTGTGTCATTGCTTTCACAGCAAATAAATACAGAAATAGTTGTATATTAATAGATATATACTGTATAGATGATATATTAAAACAGACTGTAAAAGCTTAATGTCAGTGTTAATTGGGGAACAGCTGAATAGTTTTTCTTGCAAGTGTTGGTAATTAAGATCTTAATCCTGCAATAACCAATAAAGACTGTGTAAGCTCATCTGTGGAGAAACAGTATCTGTACAGAGGCATGCCTTAAACATTACGGCATTGGGGTCTTCTTCAACCCTATGATTCTATAATTCCATCATTCCCAGTTTGATTCTGGTTGTGTGTGGAAATAACACAATTTCACATAAAAATAACTTCCATGCAAAGTAAATTCCATGAAAATATCAACATTGTTCTAGTTTCTAAGGAACAGCATGCTTTGTCAAACAAGGTATGTAAGACATATGTGCCCAAGGGTCAAATGTTTAACATGAGTCTTGGGTTGTTGTGTTGGTTTTTTTACATCCCCACTGTAAAAATTAGTTGCAATCTGTTAAAAAAAAGAAAAAGGAGAAGGAGAGGTCTGTGCCTAGGTCTTCCAGATTTATTTTCTGGAATGATCTATGTTAGCCTCATGTAACCTGCTGCCCTCAGTGGTTTTGTTTTGGATTACAATTCCCATCAGCCCCAGACAACATGGCAAATGTCCAGGGATAATTGGAGTTGTAGTCCAAAACATCTGGTGGGCGCCAGGAAGACACCAGGCTGACTTTTGTGCTCCAGAGCTCCATGTGAGCAGACGCATCTCTTTTCACTCCAGTGAAGTGCATGGAGAAGTCCTTGCTCACATGGAGTTCTGCTTGTGCACTGGAACCTCATGAAGCTTTGGAGCAGGATCTTTTTTCTAGATCTGAAACAAATATAAAACAAAAACCAAAGGTTAGCATGAAGGGTACAAAAGTCGGCAACCGCATCTGTCGAAAAGTAAGCTACAATAAATAGTTCATTAATAGTTATTGCATTAGGAGAAAATTGGAATGTTTGGGGGTCTTTGTTCTTCCTCCTTTCCTTTCTGTTTTAGAAAATCTCACCTGAGTCCTTTCTCTCTCCTGACCGATTAGTCCCACCTGAAAGGTAAGAGTAAACCGGATGATGTCAAATCAAAAACTATACCTTGATTACTATACTGGCTGTGTAGGATTGGGAGCTATTGTCATATGCTGCAAGGGGGGGTGTAGAACTAATGGGGTTGTCTAATCAGTGGAAGGAGAGTGGGAAACTTCCTAGGGGCTAGTAAGAAGACATAAGATCCAGCAACATTGCTGCAGCTAAGCACATCAGGGTGAGATTGATGCCTGGATAAGATAAATAAAAGGGCATTATCAGGGCACATAGGTCTATCTGTGGCTAATAGCCATGATGTGTAGATGGAAACTTCATATTCTGAAGCCATATACTCAGCAGCATCTAGCTGGCCACTATGTAAAGTAGGATACCAGGCAAGATGGAACAATGGCCTGATCCAGCAGAGCTCTTCCTAGGGGCACTGCCCAATGTTAGTCATATGCAGAGAGTAGACCTACTGAAATTAATGGACATGCCTAAGTTAGGTTTGCTCATTTCAGTTGGTCTACTCCAGCTGGATGCAGCCCTAGGGGACAATTTGGGGACTGTGAGTTCCAGCAAGATAGAAAGACTGGATATAAATCCACTATCTTCTTTCAGAATGACAAGTTGTGTTTCCCTTGAAGTTCCATTGTATGCAACAGAACTTGCACACCATTCGCCAGAAACAAAAGCACCTTGTGCTTTCAGTGTTCCTAAATGCTTAGCTTTGGAGCATATAGTGGCTAAGAAATTCCCTTTACACGCTTATTGGGTGACTCTAGGACATTGGAGATGGGGACAATGCAGGGATCCTATTGCAGAAATAGTAACAGGCCTTCAACCCCCTGGTTAGATGGGCTCATGTCTGGCTGACAACAGAAGAACCAGTTCTCGTTAGTTCTCCTCATCATAGCAGACAAACACTGTAAAATGGAATAGACCGCCTAACCTGCAGTTGAAGTGTCATCTTCATCTGTAAAAAGAAATACATAACAAGTAAAACAAAGCAAGCAAGGAAAAGGAAGAATGAAAGTTATCCTTTTTTTTTTTAGTACATATGAATGATAATGAGGAACCTGCAAGAGAAGGAAGGGAAACCATGATAGCTGGAAACAATGGTAATGAAAACTGCAAACTGATGGAGAAAGCTTTATGGGATCGAGCAGCTGGAATGGTCAACTTCAATGCTTCACGCAAGAACAAAAAAAATGGGATGTAATGTGTGATCTATTATTAAAACATGGGTATGAATGAGAGTTTTCAGAGTGGTTGTGTATGTTAGAAATATTGAGGGGGGAATGGAGTACAAAAAAGCCACAATGAAAATCAAGGTCAACCATAGATCTGACCTTCTGAAGAGGATGTCATTTCACTGACGTTCCCGTCTGCAAGTAAAATGTGTACATAAAGGATTTTTTATATAAATATATATATATATATACACACAAAAAACCCACTATAATTAGGAAAAAAAGACTCCATCACTTGGCAGAAGATGGCTCCAAATTAATGAGACTCAACCATTACCTTTTCTTCTTTCAAATTCCAACAAACTGCCTAGATAAAAACTATATCACTTACATGATCAATAAGGACTTGGTCCTGTCAAAATCAAGACTCTTAGGTCCCATTCCTTTCAGTGGAAGACTTAAGCACGTATCTAGCTCTTTCCCATCCTAAGTTAACAGGGCCTAAGAGTCCACCTATTTGTTATTGCAAATAATAAAGCAATAAGAATTCTGTTTAGAATTCACATATTTCCTGTAATCTAGAGAGCAGAAGAGCACATATATACTCTGATGTGATAATTAGCAGTGGTCTAGATTTAAGATGTTAATATCTTGAGCTATAACCAATAAATATGCATGTTAGGTCATCCTAATTCCATGACAAAATACACATCCCCCAATACTCCACTATTACAATTATATAACAACTTAAAGTTTAAGATGGGCAAATGAAAGGAAAAAGGCTAAAAGGTCACTGGCAATATTTATATTGTAAATAAATATTACTGGAATAACTTATGTTTTACCTCCGTGGAAGGCCACAGAACAAATACGAGTGACGAAGACATTTCCCACATGGTTGAAGTAGACTTTCAAATACATTGCGTGAAAACCACTTCCATCACATTTTAGGATGTCTGTCTGACACTCTGTCTTTTTGTTTTTAAAGTGATCTTAATATAATTATGGAAATTTGCTATCCATAAGTTACACTTAAATGATTTAAAGAAGTTCCTGATGAGAAGAATCAAGCCATTTTAAGAAAAGGCACACAGTATGAAGAACAGAATAATTCAAAATTTCAGAACATTATATCCACTTACCCATGTAAGAAAAGCATTTTCAAGTGAAATCATCCAGAAAAGGTGAATTCTGGCTCCATAATAATCAGTGACTTGACTTCTGTTTATTTACTTGGAGCCAGGATGTCACATTTTCAATCACATGAGTAGTCAAGCTCTTACTTATGTGATTAGTCCCAATCCTGCAAACATGGAAGTATGCATGGTGTCCCTGAATCAGGGTATGCTTCTAATCAAAAATTTGAAGATTATGTTACTCATATGAGTAAATGCTTTTGAAATGAGGGCAGTTCTATATATGGAGCAAGTGCATTTTCAAGCAGCCCATTAACACAAGTTTTAAAAAGGCAGGAATCAGACTTGATTTTGGCTTCAAAATTATTGTGATTTTCTTAGGCTAAACTACACATTACACTGTAAATCTGTTATTACCTTCCTGACTTTTATTTTATAATGAAATGTAGCTATACAGGCAGCTGTCAATTTGCTAGCAGCAGCAGTGGAGAAAGTTATATTAACCTTCTTTCCATGCTCTGTTCACAATCAAAACTTCCTCCTCAGCGACTTTTGTCCCACATGGGAAAACACCACCATATTTCCCACCACAATAGGGCAAACAGCAGCTGGGAAAATGGAACAGGGAAAGAGTTAAACATACACTGCCCATGAACCACTAAGATGAGCAAACTGCATTTTAAAAAAATGTTTTCAACAGTACTGAGACATTGCTTTTGAGGCCAACTATTAGCCTGTTGACCCTTACAAAAGAAGTCAAAGCACTGACTCACACTAAAGGTACACAGAAGGAATTGTTTGATCTCAGGAAAATGATGTATAATAACAATAACAATTATTTCTGTTGGGTACATTTAGGTTTGGAACACCTGCAAATTCCATGAGCTGCAAGATGGCCTGAAGATGCTAATCTTCAGAGTTATGATCATGATAAATGATAGCCTTATGATAAATGAGTGAACAATATGAATATTGTGCTAACTGATCAGAATGCAACAACTGGCTCCAAGACTGGCAGTTAATCAAAGTCACATAAATTCACACTCATCTGTCTTCTTCACAATAGTGTTCTTGTTGTGGTCAATGTAAACATGAAGGAAATACGTAATCTGCTCAGTTCAGTCAGCACAATATATGTGATGTCATGCTTGTTATCCAAGTGGAAGATGATCATCACACAAAAGAGTGGTCTAATTTGTTATTATATTGTTGAATGATGTGAGAAACTGGAAGAACAAAAAGCAGCTGGTTGGTGTGTAAGGTGACAACTGCAGATTCACCAGTCAGTGCCATTTATATTTTCTAAGCAGAAAAAAGTTAATACCAACCAGTCTGTATACCCCCAGGACATTAAAATGTGTTGTGAACCTTCTATGGATATCAAGGTAACATACGACAGCAGAACTACTTTGACAGATGGGATGGAGAAAAAACCTGTAGCAATCCATCTTTCCTAATTCTTTAGTTGCTAGAACTGGATGAAGTGGTTGTTTAATCAAAATGGAAGAATGATTCAAGAGCGATCAGTTTAAAAATGAGAAAGTGATGATCTAATCTATGTTAGCAACATCATCTGTTCAAAAGATAACAAATACCCAAAGAATATCAGACCTGATGGTAGAATTACGATCATTATTTCACTCTCCTTTTCTTCTGCAAGTAAAATTTTAATGGAATATAAATATATTTAATAATGGAACTTGTGAAAAGAGCTAAACAAGAGGAAGGCATTCTGGTGCAAACAGATTTCTTTACCACAAAAAGACGTATACCAGTTGGGTAGATCAGGTGATTCACTAAAGCAACAGTTTCACTTGATTGAAGAAAGTTGACCTAACTTTAACCACCTTTTCCAATCTATTTCTACTCTGTCAGCACTGGCGGAGGAAGAGGAGTGCGGGGGGAGCGCACCGCCCCTGGCAGCGCAATCCCCGGGGTGCCATCATGGCTTCCACCCCCGCCTGTGCTGGGTGTCCCGCCCCCGGGATGTGTGCCAGCCCTGCCCCCTCCTGCTCTCCACCCCCCAGTGCTGGAGCATGAAGCTCTGCCACTGTCTGTCAGCCCACCTATAAAGGGAGCTTCTATCTAAAAGTACAAGTGTAGTTCTACACATGCAGTACATGAAGTTGACCTCTCATCTAGAAAAGCCCATCTTATCCCTCATCAGTCCAGATCTACCTAAGAGATCTACCTTGACCGATGTTTGCTTCATGATGGGAATTTGCTAATACTCAGCAGATGCAAAGCATCATACTTAGACTTTAAGACTTTAAGTAGTTACAATATATGGCCAGCAGTACTGCAATGTGGTCTATATGTCATTTCCTGTTAATCCTGAATGCTGGAGCTTGCCAAGGACACTTCTGAAAAATTAGGGAGGTGGCATTGCAATGATGGTCTAAGATGGCTGGAGGGGCCTACAGTCCACTTGATCGTCGTTTTCATGGAGGTGACCTGGTAGAATGGCTCAGATTCAATATTGGCCCATTTCAACAGCATCCTTGCTTGCAAAAAATATGCTCTTATTCCCTTACTCCCTTACATGAAGGCATTCACCATGGATGCAAATACAATCACATCTGCATTATCATAACAACATGGCAACCAAAATGATCAAGGAGTGTGAGGAAAGGCTTCACTATATATAAAAAAAGAATAGAAAAAAATGAGCATGGGGAAACATAATATACAAAATTATGCATGGTAGGAAGAACGTAGGTAAGGAGAAAAACCCAGGGTTATCCATTGAAGCTGAATGGTAGGAGATTTGGGAATGACAAAATGAACTACTTCTTTGCACAGTTAAAATGGCAGCACTTTGCTAGCAGAAGATGTAGTGATGGCCACCAAACTGGATGACTTGAAAGGGGGTATTAGACAATAATGGATAAAAATGCTACTAGTGGATACTAATATATTAGTATCTCCAGTGTCAGAGGCAGCATGATGGGAGGTGAGCAGCAGGAAAGGGCTAATGAGCAATTTAACAAACAAACAAATACTGGTAAATTCAGCAGAATCAATGAGATAACAACACTTCCCCAGAAGTCTATGGAGTGGTCTACCTTCCTCTTTACTATACATCAAATGCTTTTTTAACAGTATGTCAGGCATGGGGTACCTCTAGCTCCCATCATCTCTGGCCATTGGTCATGGTTGCTGGGGTAGATGAGAGTTGCAGTTTAGCAACATCTGGAGAGCCAAAGGATCCCCATCCCTGCGGTATGTCATCAATGTACCAGGAGGGTGTGCCATTTCATATTTGCAAGTTGCTGATGGGGAGGCTCCAGTAGTACTAATGAAATTTTATCTATGTCCACTTGCCAGATCTGCTACGGTTGCTCATAAGCTTTAAATATAGACATCTACGTATGTCTATAAAAGACAGCTGAGATTTTATACAGAGTTTTGATGGAAACTTCAATCAAAATCACAGGGGAAACAATCAGATGTTTGAATAGGTCACAGAACCTAGACAGATGAAAATGAAACATGCAGATAATTTATTAGATGGGTGGATACCTGGATGGAACCTAAAGAAAGAAATGAGCACATTAATTTTATGTTGTTATTTCAGGAAATGAGCGCAGTTCTGGTAGCTACAATGTCTTCAGCACAAAAATGAAGATGAATGAAAGCACATTGTGGAATGTAATATGTGAGAGTACGTTGGTAGTTACGTAGACCAGTGTTTCCCAACCTTTTTTGGGCAAAGGCACACTTGTTTCATGAAAAAAATCTCGAGGCACACCACCATGCCAGATGGGGAAAGGTCACTTTTTACTTATGTAAAAAAAAATAAAAAAATAGTAACAGCATAGAAGGTAATGGTTATCTCTTTGATGTCTGATGGGAGGGCATTCCACAGGGCGGGCGCCACTACCGAGAAGGCCCTCTGCCTGGTTCCCTGTAACCTCACTTTTCACAGTGAGGGAATTGCCAGAAGGCCCTTGGCACTGGATCTCAGTGTCTGGGCTGAACGATGGTGGCGGAGACGCTACTTCAGGTATACTGGAGCGAAACCGCTTAGGGCTTTAAAGGTCAGCACCAACACTTTGAATTGTGCTCGGAAAGGTACTGGGAGCCAATGTAGGTCTTTCAAGACTGTCGTTACGTGGTCTCGGCGGCAGGTAGCAGCGCTCACAGCTTACGGACTGCACCGTGTAACAGGTGTCTGGCCCAGCAGCCTAAGGCAGACAAGCCACTGAAACAGGCATTCAGAATCCATTCATTTCATAAAACCTGCAGGGCTCAATCTCTGTGTTTGTGTATGTGTGTGTTTCTGTTTTGCCCAAGGGTCTGGGGGTGGGAGAGAGCTCTTTAGCATGATGCTTTTAAAACAATTAAATTATCAACAAACAAACCTGATGATACGAATAGCAACGTCAGGTGCTACGGGGGGGGGGGGAGAAGGGGGCCTACTCAGAAGTAAATACTGCGTCCAGGCGCAATTAGCGCTGATTTAAGGTGCACCAAGACTGCCTAAAAACCTCACCAAAGATATGCAACAAAGCGCTTCGTTGCAGAGGGGAGAGTTTGTGCACCGTGGAGGCTGGAGGGCTTCTATTCTACATGCGGGGGTTGGGGGGGGCGAGGAAAATGTGCTCCGTGGTGGGGCGGGGAAGGCAAAGTTGCAAAAGCGCCCTGCTCCTTCTTCCGCGGAGGGAAACGCTCCTGCGGAGGCGAGAGGCAGCGAGGAGGCAACGAGGTGAGGCTTTTGTGAGGTAGGGAGAGGAAAGACGGGGGAGGGAACCCAAGGAGGATTTGCACGAGAGGGAATGAAGGGGAAACGCGCCTCCCACGTGGAGCACTTTTCCCCGGGAAATGCACGGGGTGGGGTCGTGGCTGATCCGTGCTGCGCGCTCGCGTCGTGCGGCCCAAAGTGCTGCAGGATCGCCAATGCAAGACCCCCTTTTAAAACCTCCCCCTCCCCCAGCTCTGGAAAAAAAGGGGGAAGGGGATGGCGTCGGCGTGCGGAGGCTGCCCGTGCCCGGCCAGGCGTCGGTGGCGGTGTCAGCGCTGCTGCAGTGGCTGCTCCTCCTGCGAGCAGTGAGTGGAGCGCAGCCGCAGCGGCGGCGGGGGGCGCGCGCGCGCTAGGGCGCAAGGCTGGCGGTGGCGGCGGGGAGCCCGGCGGAGGAAGGAACTTGTCCCTTCCCTCTGGACTCGCGCCCCCCGCAGATGTTGCGCCCGGTGCGACTGGCACCCCTGGCACCCCCCACGCTACGCCACTACTCCCACGGCACACTAGGCAACGTCCAGCGGCACACTAGTGTGCCGCGGAACACCGGTTGGGAAACACTGACGTAGACACACATGACAATGCTGGACAAACAGAAATGTAGAACGGAGTCACTGGAGGATAACATAGTGAGTTTGGTGAGGCTGCTGTACATTCAATTATTCTGTAAATAAAATAGATATTAGATAGATGACAGAGATCTAGCATTCCATAAATGCAAATTAATAACTTGCTTCAAAACACAAAATTTAGAACTATGTAGTATGGATTGCACTGAAGCTTGCATCCCCATCATTACTTGGAAACAAATAGTTACCCTGGGCATACCCCCAAGGCAGCCTTGCCCAACTTGGTAACATCCCGATATTTTGGACTGCAACTCCCATCGATCCTAGTCTCACCATGTGCTCACCAGGTTGGACAAGGCTCCCCTAAGAGTTGTGGAAGGCTGGGGGGGTGGCATGGCATGGTTTGTTTGCAGGGCATCATGGAAGACCGTAGGACAGAAAGTCTTAAGGATTCCACCTGACATGCAGAATTAGTCATACAGGACTTTTGATTCTGGCCAAAGTGGTTGGCAGGGCAATTCAGAGCAGCATCTCATATTTTGAATGGCAGACAAAGGCTTTATTTCAGATACTGAAGCAATAAAAGGTAAAGGTAAAGGACCCCTGACAGTTAAGTCCAGTCGCAGACGACTCTGGGGTTGCGGAGCTCATCTCTCTTTACAGGCCGAGGGAGCTGGCGTTTGTCCGCAGACAGTTTTTCTGGGTCATGTGGCCAGCATGACTAAGCCACTTCTGGTGAAACCAGAGCAGCGCACGGAAATTCCATTTATCTTCCCACTGGAGCAGTACCTATTTATCTACTTTTTGCAATAAAGGAAGTAATAAACTGAACCAGGAAACAAAGAGGTAGCAAGAGCTGGAGTGACACGTTTTTGCTGCTCTTCTCTACAGCTTGGCAGGAGCATTGCACATCAATAAAAGTTACTGGACACTTTTTAAGGGCAGGCAATATTCCTGTGTCAAAGTTACTAAAGCAGAGGTTAGGCCAACATGGTGTCCTCTGAATGGCACCAGACTCTAGCTTCTGTTATCCCTGCCCATTGGCCATGCTGGCTGAGACTGATGGGAGTTGGAGTCCAACTACACCTGCACATTGTTAATACATCCTATCCCCTGCACTAAATCATAAATGGCTGTGGTTAGGCCTGCCCTCTCCAAGGATGGGTTGAATGGGCATACCAGCTGAAGCAAGTAAATGGGGAAATGAAGGGGGGAAAGCATTGGCGGTGGGGGAATCCAGGAAGCCATATGAAATCATACCAATGAAATGAAATAAAATTCAAAACTGTATGGGGAACTGGAAGAAAGAAGAGAAAACATACATATGACCTATACTGCTGTAGCATCTACTGATATGTTGCCTCCTTCTAGCTTTTGGAGAACAACTGCACTCACCTTGGTTAGGTGCATTTCCATCTTCCTCAGGTTTATTTTGTTCTGTGTAGGAAGTAGAAGCAACATCTTTTTGAGAGAAAACACCCAGATCATCAACATTTGTGCTGGCGTACCCACCTGCAATGCTGGCACAACATGTTTAGATGTTGTACAAGCACAGCAGCCACTACGCCCCGGGGAATTAATTGCCAGAGGCTGAAAGTGTTAGACCATTAATATAAATGGAAATTAACTGGATCCTATTAGCATGTCAATGCTTGTTGGTTAGGAAAGGGACCATATCTCAGTGGGAGGACACATGCTTTAGATACAGAAAGTCTCAGATTCAGGTCATGGAAAAGGAATCTGAACAGGTGATGGATAGGCAGCCTCTGTCTGACAGCCAGTAGAGCTGTTGCCATTCAAAGTAGATAACACTTGGCTTTAGAGGTGAGGGTGGGCAAGGTTTACAGCAATAAACAAAAATTCTGCCAGGAGTGGGTGGGACCCCATGATGGCCCAATGAGAACTGAGCATGCTCAGTGACCACAGAATGCTAATTGATACTGGAATGGGGAAGGGGTGGTGGAATGCAGTATCTTGAAAAAGGGCATGCCTGGCTGAAACCCTGAACAGAAGCCCTCAAGAGCGTAACATTATTATTTTTTTGCTGAGGTCCCACTCATTTTACATATATACAAACAATCTGGATAGCTCAGTAGAGCATAAGACTCTCAGGATTGTGGGTTCGAACCCCACGTTGGGCAAAATATTCCTGTATTCCATGGGGTTGGACTAGATGACCCCCTCATAGTCCCTTCCAATTCTACATATCTATGACCTATGAACCTGGAGTAGCAGTGCAATCTTATGTATATTTGTTCAGTGGGGCTCATTCAGAAAACATGCATAGGATTGCAACCTGAAAGTAACTCCGAACTATCCTGCACCAACATTTCCCCTATTTAGTGTATGTACACGGGAATGAATCCAGAATTATAATAATCAAGTTTTAGAAGAGCAGTAGCAAATTTTCTTTCTACCCCCTTCCCCCTCTGCATATGTGGTCACATACTGTATACTTTTAACACAGCAAGCTTCTAGATGTGGCAGCCACAATCTGGGCTTAACACCATTTGTGTGCTCACGTTTTTGCATGTGTGTGCATATGCGTGTACACAGGAAGCTCAAAATATCCAGAAAGATATCCCAAGGGCAGGAGGATCAACAGACTCTCTCTACACCTTCCCAAATACCAAATGGGACATAGTTAGCATCTTTAGAAGAGCTGTGCAAGCTTCAAGGCTTCTGCTGAATCTGCCGGGGCTACTGGGTCAAAGGATATCCTCCCAAACATCAACTGATAAGCATCAACTGGGCTTGCCCCAGAACTATTGGTGGAGCAGGTTCCAGGTTCAAAGTTCTTTGTTAAATCAAAACCACTGGAATGCAGTGACCACTTATGCAATCTGCCACATTTGTAACTATTAGTGTTACAAATGTTTCTTTCCAGGGAGAAAAGAGAAGGACTCCCAACTCCATTCTTTCACAGTTTTGTTATTTAATTCAAAAGATCTGTAAGGATTTCCAATGCCACAGATCACATGGTTTACTATGTGAAATGTGCCTTGAAATGTTATGCATGCATTGCAGGGATAAGCCAACAGCAGTTAGGATTAGTTGCACAAGGTTTATTTTTAATATTAAAACAAAAATGTAGGGTTGGAGCAGAAATGCTCAAATATTTGAAATCTGGTGAATTTTCAATTATTAATAAGTATTTACCCCAAATCTATGTTTGCTTGTTGTTTGTACTAGATTCCATATTCATCAGCTACCACATGGGCTAAAATATGAAATAATGCACTTTCTTTAGGCCTTCTTTTCTAACATGAGGCCTTCTTCCTCTCCCTTTCCTTCCCCTTCATATATAACAAAGCGAAGAGGCAAAATATTTCTCTTTTTCTTATTTCCATTCACTGGATCAATTCCTTGCTCCCAAATCTCCCTAAATACATCTATGTGCAATTTCTGTCAAAATAAATAAATAAATCTTAGAAAAGAACTAGCATCCTCAGAATACCCACAATTTCCAGGGCTTGGGGTGGGGTGGGGGAGCAGGGGAGCCAAGGGAATTAATCCTGCAATCCTATACCCAATTATCTGGGAATAAGCCCCAATGAACTCAATGGGACTTGCCGCTGAGTAGACATATATAGGATTCCTAGCATCCTCACAGTAAATTATCATTGTAAATGGCACCCTAAAACGAGTTTAAGCTCTCAGTTACCTGGGAATAAGCCCCTTGATCTCAGTGGGACTTACTTGTGAGAAGACACGCAAAGGACTGCACTGTTAATCTTGTAGAAGTGAAGTTATTAATCCAATAAACAGTCACCTCTCTGTGTATTGTATGACGCCTATACAACACATATCTATATCAACCAAAACCACAAATTCTAATGACTAACCTGGAGGTGGTGCAGTCTCTGCTTCTGTTTCATCTGAAAAGGATAGAGGATGCACTTTTAGAAACATAAATGTATACGAATAGATACATATGTTCTAGTACAGTACTGAATACAGCTTGAAGAGCTAGACAAATTCTGAATTTCATGCTATACATGAAAGCCTTCCCATTATGGATTTGTAGATGTTTATTGTGGTCTTGTGTATAACCCACTAATTTATTAGGTTTTATTCAAATTGTTTCATTGTTGTACAGATGAAAGCAGCGAACTGTCTCACCAAATAGTTGGTTCACATTGCTTTTATTTTCCTGCAACAAATACCAAATTGATTTGCTATTTCCTTGCATTATCATTATTTTACAAATAACATTTTTGCAAATAATATTTCATCAACATACATAAGAACATTTGTTAAGTTGGAAAGGAAATTAACTAACTCAAATAATCATGTCCAATTATTTCAATGGTTCTACTTTGGGTGTATGGGATGTTAGGGGAGGGATAATACCTCTGGTGGGGGACATGTGCTCCTTCTGGGGTAGTTTGCCCACCTTTGGTCCCCACCCTGCACTCAATTCTCACTTGTGTCTCCTAGAAGCTGTCAGCATGTGACAGCAGCCACACCCTGGGAAACAGCTTTGCCTGATCAGCTAAACTTGGTGAGGGCAAGTTGATGGGTCTCAGTCTCTCAGTGAGTTAGGGACTTCCCCTGCATGTGAAAACTGGCTCCAGCACATTGAGTGGACAAGACTAATAGGGGGTCCAATGGTCAAGAAGGGAGTTTCTGCACATGTTCTAGAGGGAAATGAGGAGCAGAGGGGGCTCGTCAACCTGAGGTGCTAGCCTATCTAGGAGAAGGAAAACTCTGATCCTAAGCCTTCACTGCCTTGCACCTATTCTCATGTGAGAAAGGCTTCAGGAGGAAAAATCCATACCCACTGCCTTGCACGACATCTCCGGGGGAAGAAAAGGCTAAGGAGTAAGTCCTACAGAAATCTGGAGTGGAATCCCTAAGACAAGGTCACGTATGCCACCTTCCAGCAATGCCTGCAGCCAAGCTAGTGTCAAATGTATTGCTCTGCTTTCCTTTGGAACACATCAATGAGGCTGAGAGGGGGGTCTTGTCGTCTGGGCAGTCCAGGACCACCATACACATTGGCCAGCTTGCACATGTCTCTATGTGGTGAGGCTCCCTGACTGATACATGACTCTTACTTCCAAAATGCCCCTTTGCAGAATCTATTTTATTACAATTGCTGCAAAAGTGTACTGAACTTTCTGCTTATTTTATTCCAACTGCAATAATACACTTCACATAGTTGGTGTTCTTCATTTCTTTACTGTTTGTCTTGTCTTTATGTTGTTGTCTTGAAAATTCAATAAACACTTTTTAAAAAGAGCTACTATTTGCTCTACATCTTTAGATCAAGCAGGTTTATAGGGCTGCTGAAGCTTCTGTGTGCCCTGTTCAGACAAACTCATGTTCCCCCAGGCAAAAAGCCTATTTGAAGTGGTGTTCCATATTTATCCAATTAGCTTGCAATGTTGAGTGGTTTGAGCAGAGCTGCACGTAAAGGTACCCTTAAACTTTACACACTGAAAATCAATCCACACCAGCTTCTTCCATGTGACCAAAGATATTATAAAACCAGTGAACCCCTTGAGCAAATAATAGAAATAACATTTCAGTTTTGACCACTCACAGTGAGGCTCTACAGACTAAATATATTCTCAAGCATGCTAGTGATGTTGGTTCTCTGTTCCAGTAAGAATCCCGGTAAGCCTTCTCCTCTGGCGGCAGGCTTAAGTGTAAAATGCATTCTTGGTACATCTTGACTCTCCCTCTCCCTCCCTCTGTGTGTGTGCTTTATGAAGAAGAAACACTATGGGTTGGAGGGGAATTGAGTACAATGTGTGAAATAATTTAAGAACACAGTAAAATCCTGTGGGATCAAACAAAAGGCCTATGTAGACAACACCCTGGGTGATATTTAACCAAGTTTTATTCAAAGGAGACCCATTGAAATTAATGACCCTAACTTAGTCATATTCCTTAATTTCAATGGGTCTACGTTGGAGAAAACTTTGTTTCCAACTGTGGCCAACTAGATGTATGGCATGAAGGCAGCAGACCTCCTCTGTTGTTGCCTCTGCCTTCTCCACAACAGTTATTCAGAGGTACCGGTATATTGCCCTGAACATGGATGTTCTGTTTAGTTATCATGCAAATGTAGTCACTGATCAGCAAGTTTGTCCAATCCCCTTTTCAAGTCAGCTTGGCAGGGCCATAACATTTTGGGGCAGTGAATTCCATAAATTAAGTTTATGCTGTGCGGAAAAGTAAAGAATGTGTGTGTCTTCAGTCTACTGCCAGTTTCACTGGAGTAGTTTATCCCATCCATTTTTTTTTGCCACACTATGCATAACTTTATAATCCTGTCATATACTGTCATTTCATTGTAAGAAAGGAGCTCCATCCCTGGATAATTTAGGCTGCCCTTTTCTGCACCTTCTCCAGCACTTCGATAGCCTTTTCCAGGATGGAGTGGAGGGAGAACAGGTTGAATACTTTTTCCCCCAGAGCAGGAGTGATGACATCATTTTCTGAAATGCCGGGTTAACTGATGGACCCTCCTTGCTCTGGCAAGGTGATAATGAGGCTTTGAAAGTTATTTCAACAAATTAGCACAGAGGAATGTGAAAAATTATCAAGCTTAGGCTGGACAATTCTTTCCTTTTCTTTGAAGGAGTTCCTACTTCATACTAACAAATTAAAGGGTAACACTGCTTTGTAAGATAAAATTGTGTTTCTAATACAAAGCTAAAAGTTGCATTTCAATTGGCTGAAGTTCTTTCTCAGCATGTTTTAAGTTGAACCTATGCTTTCAGAAGCAAGCACCTCTGTGCTCAATGGAACCTACTCCCAAGAACCTAGGCATGGAATTGCCAATCCTAATAAATTAGGCATTATATGTGCTGCTGTTCTTTAGTGTGTGTACTGTATCTGAGGGTGTAGAAGCCTGCATTTTTTGACTTTCACTAGGCAATGGCTATGGAATTATCTTTAGGGATGGTGTGATCCTTTTAAAATGGTCGTTTAACAATGTAATGTAAACAATGCACTGTCACTAAAATGTGGCTATACCCCATTTTGTCCACTGCAAGAGTCCAAGTGGGTCAGTCATTAGAAATTAATTGCCCTAGTCGAGGAGAACAAGTAAAATGGCCATCCCTAGGGCAAATCATTCATTTTAAATCTTGGTTTCACAAAATACCTCAATTTAAATGACAAAATCTATAGACCATCAGTTGTGAATAGCACATGTGTGGTTTAAATGGCTAGATTTTCCAACAGCAAACTTGGTAGTAGTGATTGGGAAAGAATAAAGAATTGGAAAATAATTTTCCAATTATGATTTATATTTAATTATTTTATGCTGCTGCTCCAAGCTGGAATCAGGCTTGAGGGGGCTCAGAGCAAAATGCTCTGCCGAGGGCCCTGGCACATGGATCAAAGCAGGGCTCCTGGACTTATTGGTTGCTACCTGCATTCTTTTATCAAGGAGACTCACCACAATAAAAGTGAAAATAAGAACATATCAGACCAAGCACTATCAAATCAAGCAAGCAGCCAAGTGGCTAATGCCCATTGCTGCTACACCTGCTTGCTCACCTGAGTCAATGAGGAAAGAAACAAGCAGAAAGAGAAGGAGGTCAAGGGTCAACAGGGTGCTGGGTCCCAACAGCTGCCCAAAGATACTAATGGTTCATGCCAGCACTGGTATGTGTGACAGCTTTTCCTCTATAAAAAGTTTGATTCTGCAGAACTCTTTTAACACCGAGGTTAATTTACCTGCTTTTCAGCCAAAGTTGCAGGGAAAATACAATATAACCCAACAATAAAAAATAGAAAACAAACAAACCTCTAACAATATTAAAAGCCTTAGAACCGAAAGGAAAAATAAAAGAGGCACAACCCACGCATCCAGTCCCAAAAAAAGCATCTTCAGCAATGGCAGTCTAAAAATAAAGGCATTTATTTTTTTAAAAATTGAGGGAAGCTAGTCAGACACACCTCCTTCAGAAGAGAGTTGCATATCCTTCAACACTTCTCAAACAAAAATAGGAATACTCTTTTAATAGTGATAGCCATCAACTTGGGAAGCTTTAAAAAAGGACTGGACAAATTCATGGAAGATAAGGCTGTTGGTAATTACTAACCCTGCTGACCATGTTCAAGCTTTACTGTCAGTGGAAGTATGCTTCTGAATACCAGTGGCTGGGAGTCACAGATTGGGTGCAGGTCTGTCTACTGCTGCGTCTGGAGAAAGCCAGAGTGTGCCTGCAGTGTGGAGCAGCTATCAGTAGTTGCTACAGAAAAATACTGATGCTGCTTTGCCACAGCAGCAAAAACTGTTTGAAAGGTTTAAAGTATAACCATTTGCTGCTAAACTTTTATTACTGCTGAACAGTATTAGTCACTGCAGAAAGTGGCAGCAGCATTCCTGGGTTCTCCAGACCCTGGTCGCCCAATTTTTCACTCTGACAAAGGACACCATTTGTGGGCATTACATAGTGCTGAAGTGTTCCTTAGGGATGGAAGGGTTTGTGTATTTCAGTTCTCTCAGCTTCTCATTTTTCCAATCTTAAATTTGTTTATACACATTTGCGAATTTTCTTTTTTAAAATCCCTGTGAAAAGTCACCAGCATTTTATGTGAATATCTCCTGATAAACACATTTTTGTATGCAGTTTTGATTAATGTACCCATTTTTGGAAGTTATATCCCCGGATACAATGCATTTTTGTATGTTATTTTTACCAATATATTCATTTTTATCCACACTTTCCCTTAATATATGCATTTTTGTAAACATTGTTTGGCTGGAAAACTGCACGGGACATTTCAGATTAGAGCCAATTTTGAAGGATGGCTGTTTTCAGCTTTCATCTTGTTTCAGAAATTTGATAAATTCAGCTGAATTTATCCCTCATCCCTGGCATGGATATGCATGTAGTGACACCTCTGA